TTCCCGGTTACGATGCCCGACCTATCATCATGCCACCTTATGAATGAAAGGATTAGCTCTGAGACAGGCCAAGACAACTGCTCACAGATATTGGGCAAATGACCGCATGTAACTCATCACGAAAAATGTCTGTGCACAGTAGCGTCTAGGAAGTGTCTGGACCCCAGCCGCGCACCATAGCTCTGGAAATCTGACCCTTCAACATTTAAGGTGATTATGTGCAATGTGCCGGCCTGTAGACATCCTGATCAGTCAGACGGGTGCAAATTCATAGTCACGCACAGCTTCCACATTTCTGCAATGGCTGCTTAAGTGAAGACGGCATACTTATCACAGGATCTTAACATATATGGACGCTCGCATCATTTGTCACGTCTAAGTGCCACTTGCTATACCTCGATTGTGCGCTTTTCACCGGTTGAACTTAATAACCATGTGTCAACGTCAAATAACGCCAACGAAAGCAATTGCCTGCTTTCAGTTTTGGGTCCACACATAACCGATGTCATCAGCGGTAGTGTTTAACCCTCAAATACCCGGGTGACTCCTGGAGGCAACGCTGTTGAAATCGTGTTCTCTCTACGTCTTGGTGACTGCGGATTCGTTTTGGTGTTTGAAATCAGTGCATTATTGTCAGAGGTTTTCTTGAAAAATTGCAGCGCATTTCACCCTTAAATGCCGTTATGCTATTCAATGACAACAGCAGTTACGGTTGAAAATTTACGTTTCTATTTCTCTAAACGCTCAAGGCTATCTGACGTCCTTTGTATATCAGGTTACCAAGAATGCACAAATCAAACGCCCTGGGAAGGACATATGTGACCCTTTTGAATATGTAAGCAATATGTTTTTCATGGAGTTGTGCATTAATGTGATTTTGGCCACCAAATGCCTGGAAACTGTGCGGCAACGTGTAAAATTCAAGTTACCAAAAGTGCATATACGTCGCAGGCGTGTACCGTGGTTCGCCATTTCTGAAAAGACTAGGGTTCGATGAAGTATCTTGCAGCATTTGTATTTACCGTGATTATACCGATACAACATTTTGAGCGTTATTTCAAATTCCAGTGAGGTTGCATCCATTTTCGGTCAATACATGTTTACCAAATTTCCCTAAAAGACATCACCATTGTTGGGACTTTCATGAAACGCCAGATGAGTACTGGTCCTTTCATGCGAAACCAAACTAACGCAAACAGTACTTAATGTACTAGTTTTATGTTTGATGTTAGATTACATCACCAATATTGTGCATTATAGCTTACATAACAAACTGTTCAAATTCCTACTTATCAAGCATGCATTGCATTTTATGTATTTGGTCCATGCATCCATGAATGATGACCTATACAAAAATATAGATCAAGAATAGGTTTTTCAGATTTGATGCTCTAGAAACGGTTCAAAGGCGGACCGGCCAAGTGGCAATGCAAAATACAGGAAAATAACCAAGAAGTAAAAGCCAGAGCGGTAAGAAGTTTGAGGGCAGTGACACCGGCGTGCATGAACGTAACCGTGCCGTAACCACGCTTAAGTGCTACTGGGGTGCATTCCTGTTTTGATACCAATGATATGGTCAAACATGAAAATGTTCTAGGCTGCCGTGTGGTTGGAGGTCCGGACCCTACCATGTCGCGTCTTTGCCCAGCGCCCTGGGCTCGCCGTTACCACGAAATACCGCATTGCACCAATTGGCTACATCAATGCATTGTGGTGCAGATAAGTGTACACTTGCTCCGCCTGCCGCACGGTATGGGCGTGCGGGCCCGGAAGAGCTCGTTTAGCGTTCGCCGCCGAGCAACCCGACACAGCGCACCAGGAAGGGAAGTACGTGCTAACTACACTTGTCTTATGCGTTTTACCATTCCAGTCAAAGTACCAATATTTTGAACCATTTCACACTCCAGAACGCGTCACACGTTTTAAAATTGCTTTCGAAGTGAATAACTGCAAATTTGCATCGTGAATACCAAACAGGAAACAACGTACGGTCAGTGGAAACAAAAGATGGAAACCCACTTAGAAAGGGCCGCCAGAGTTCCGCTCTCTTTCGCCCGTCCCTAAATAGCCTACCCCAGGGAGGCTACGGTGCGGGGCGCCCCCGCGAGACCGTTCATCACGTCCTACATCATACTCGCCCTGGGATGGTATTCGCTTTTCCTCGCGCATGCGCACAACGCGACTGCGGCACCTGGGATGCCTGGTACAGCTATTTCCGCCACCTAGCGGCCGGCCGCGTCTCCTGAGTCGGCGTAACCGACAGTCCGGGTGACGGCCGCCTGGCGACAGGTTTCCGGACCAACTATCACGATGTCGGCTGCAACCTGGCCCGCGCCATGCACGAGATGGCACCCGCGCCCCGCCCCGATTATGCGCACAACGCCGACCCCGAGCGGCGAGTCCCACATCACGGCGGGTGCGGTACTTCACAGCGAGATTCTTCTGCGACTTTTTTCGGTGCAACACTTGCCATGTTAGCTCCTGTATAGGCTAGCCATAAATTTATCAGCGTAGTTTCAGATACAGTCGCGCAAAGCTTGCGCTTTTCTAAGCAGTTTCTAACAGAAAAAGAAAAAATGCGAACCCGCATATTGCACAGCGTTTGTGCATTGGGTGTGCTGCACGCGTTCCCTAAATCAATGGAAAATGAGCGTTGTAGTATATACCAAATGTTCAATGTTAGTGCCGTAGCAACATATGCCTTAGGTCATTCACCATAGCATCAGAGCTAAATGATAAACCAAGCTGCACGAATATTCCTCATAATGAGCAAAGGCAGAAATGAAAGAACAGCGTTTAGATACAAGTCAAACCACTTTCCCCTTCGCGGGTAAAGGGCCAATACAACTTGATAAGTGCAAGCCTCCATTTATTATTGTAATTACCCGAGTTTCTGTAACTTTCACATCAGTGTACGATCTGGTGTTTTTATGAGCCAGCTGGCTTTGGATCAAGGTACGCCATGCTCAACTCATCGCCCAACAGCAAGTTTCGTATTCACTTGTGTGCAAGTATAGTGCAAGTGCCAGTATACCTACCAACAAGGCCGTCTTTCACGTTACGGATACTTTATTCCTTTGTCAGTTTTGTCAACTACTGAGGTACTGAGCGGCAGTTAAGTACCAATGCTCCACCTCCTGAGCGCAATTAAGAAAACAAATTGGCAATTGCACCCTTTTCAAAAATTACGAAAAGGGCTTGTCGTGAACGGGCAGTCACAACTGTCCATGAAATTGACCCAATCGGAATGGAAACCAGTTGATCAGTCACAACCGTAAAGGGCACCTGTTGGTCATATCCTTGCCTAAATTTTGGCGCACATCTACGAGCAGAAAATCCCAGTTCACAAAAGTTGAAACCTGCCTGGCGTTTGAACAGCGGCTCGACGCTCATTTCCGTTTTTTTTCTTTTCTTATCCCAGAACAGCTGCCCTGTCTTACCATAAAAATGCCTGGTCCCATACAGAACGTATGAATCCACCACGACCCCATGGAGCGTTTCCTCACAGTCCCTGCCTGAAACTTTCAAAGACCCTGGCGTGATCTGCCCCCCCCCCCTAGTTTCTGCCTAAACCGTTTCAAAGACCCTGGCCAGGCGTTATTTGCCAGCAAAACAAGCTTTTCACTCCGGGGGGGATTTCACCGTTCACTGCTGGGGAGGGGTAATTTTGGGCGGATAATGGTGAGACCCTGCTCCCACCCCCTCCTCCAGGTACCATCTTGAAATAAATAAGGCCTGACGAGGTGGACGGAACAACTCGAGTATTTATGGGCACAACAATGGACACACTCGATGCACAACACAAGTTTCACCAAAATTCTGGTTTGAAGAATTGTGCCACATTTGCATTGGTTTTGAACTGTAACAGCCATTTTCATGACCATTCCCTGCAGTTCACAGTTATGCCCAACTCGTATATTTGTCGAAGTGGTGCGCCGTGACGCAATGTTACGGCTCAAAGAGAACCTAGCGGAGACTGAGGGACGTAATTCATTCTGCCGTTCAGTCAGTCATTGCTAGTCCCGCTACAATGACTGACTGCATTGGACATTAGGCAGGCTCTCGCGTTGGAGAGTCCTAAATCCAGTCTTGAGGTGCCCAGAGCTGTTACATATTTTTACTTGAAATGCGCATCGCACACGACGTTCGAGCTTACATAATGCTTGCTGCGGTGCGGGCTCCACCGCCCCCAAGTGGTAGTCAGGCGCGTGCATTCGACCCATCAAAGGTCATGGGCTCGGGTTTTTAATGAACCTGAGAGGCAACGGTCTTGTCATGCATAATCATCCAAAGCCGTCCTCCGCCTGCCGCTAGTATGCTTAGCTTTCAAGGTAGGACGGCTTTTGAGCTGGGGCGCGTTGCAGTGATATGACAGTTGTCGCAGCGGCCGTAGCCGACGTTTGTTGAAAATAATTTTACCTTAACGCTTAAAGCTTCGCGATTGAATGATGATCGGTCCGGCCGTGTTACCTCACCAACGTTTCTCAGCTTACTCCACTCATGCCAGAGTCTTCGTACCCAGAGAGTGCGAAAATAACAGCCGTCTGGTGAAAAACTTACTTGGATATCTGTAAACTGGATTTGCTCCATCTGGAGACGCGGCTGCCGCGCAGTGCAGACATTGAATGCATTGATGCGAGCCAGATTATTTCATTGATTCATTTGTTTTCATTTCACATGTCATTCATTGTTTCAGAAATCAAAATAGACAGCTGAACTGGCTGCCGGCCAGCGTGCTCCAACGTGTAGATCAAGCAATTCGCTCCACGTTTCCCCAGGCCCCACCGTAACACCCGCCTGCGTGCGTTGCTGTCTGCCCATCCCCACTCCTGGCCAACGCCCGATCTCGTCGGAGCGCGCTACGCATGCGAACCAAGCCAAGGCCGTGGCCAGCCCAGCAGTCAACAGAGATGGCACCACCATCGCCGTCGCCGGCAGGCGCCGACGCTGCCGCCGTCTGGCCGCCAAGGCCACCATACTTCTCCGTGGGCGCGGGGTGGGTCGGGGTGCAGTGAGAGGAAGCCCAGACCGTGGTTCGTGCAGCCCCTCATCTGCATCAACAGTCGTCGAGAGAGGGGGAGGAGGGGAGCGCGGAGCAGCCAACAGGGGCGGCCAGACCATCAGAAGTACCGAAGGTGAGCAGCGTAGGAAAGGAACAAAAGTAAGTGGTCAACCGGAATGGCCCCATTTTCAAGATACACACTTGGTCGCCAGCTGAATCAGAAAGCCAAAACGGCTAGTTAATCACTAGGAAGGCGCATACGCCACCAATGAGGCAAGTTCAAATCTAGTGTAGTCAACACCGACAGTACGTGAGGGCTAAAACATCCGATGGAAGGTGGAAGCGTATGAATGATCACCAACAAATTAAAACAACCAAAATCCCAACTTGCACTCCATAGCTAAGGACCTTTGGGCGTGCGTCCTGATGGGTCCGGAGGTCCGTCGGGGCCCAAAGGGTATACGTCTCCTGTGCCGCCCCTCTCCCATCTGGCTGGGCCACTGGGCGATACGCCCACGAGACTCAATGCTAGTCGGTGAGTCGCTCTTAGAGCAAAACTCCAAGGTGAATTGCGGCGTCTGCATCCTAAGGCATTCGCAAGTTGGCACCAGTTTGGCCTAGAATGTGGTTGTTTCCGCTGGCAGGTTAAATGTGCCAGATTCTAGTACAAGTTCTCTATTTCCTACTATATTTTGGTGGTTGGTTTTACTTATATGGTGATAACTGAGCTAATCTGGTGGGTAGTGTTCTTTCTGGACATCGTACGCTTGGTGACTTCAATAGGCATCACGGTGAAGGACATTCGGTGGTGAAACGGTGGTTGCAGTGGTGAAAGCGGCAATACTGATGACACCGATTCACTTGTGGTGAAATGTTGCCTTTGGTTGTGATTCATCAAAATAAGGCTGGTTGACACCAAAATAAGGCTGGTTGACACCAAAATTTCGCCATTCGATGCCACTTGGTCGATACGATTTCTTCCCTGAACGCCGTGAATGGGCTGGGTCTTAGATCAACCAAAATGCAAAAAAGAGGAAAACTCTGTTTGCAAACGAGCCCATGCTTCGAGCCCAACGTGGTGTCCTTGGTTCAGGTTAAAGGTCGTCAAAAGAGCGTAAGCCACCGGAAGTGGTTGCAGATAACCTCGTGCTCCATAAAATCTGCAAAGCAATTTTTTGCCTCAGAATACTTTTGGTGACCTTGGATCTGACCTAACGGTCACCATATTCTAGAAAGATTAACCACCATGGTTCATTAATAAGTGAGGGCTTCGTGCCGATTGGTCCCAGAGGCTCGGAGCATGGGGTTATCCGCAGCCAATTTTGGTGGTTGCGGGCGTTTTTGGTGACTTTGGATTTAATCCAAGATAATTACGCTCTTGAAAGGACATGGTGGCGACTTGGACGCTGCGATTGTCGAAGGTTTTTGTAGGGATCGGTCCCATAGTCTCGGAGCATGATTGTTGTCTACAAACTAAGTCCTGGTGGTTTCCAGCTTTTTTCGTGACCATTAACCGTCGACTAAGGTTGCATTAAGGTTGCAACCTTCAGGTAAAGATGGGTTTTTGTCGATGGCATACCGATTTGTGAAGACCTCGTGCCGGTTGGGAAAGGTTTCGTTCCGATTGGTCCTGTAAACTCGTAGCATTGAGTTGTCTGCAACCAATTTTGGTGGTGTTAGGCGTTTTTTATGACCTTTAACCTGATCCACGGTCGTCACCACCTTTGTGATTGTCACCACCGTCTGGCATTGATAGTTATCGACCATTTCCGTCGATTAATCATGGTTTCGTTTCGTGTTCGCTCGTAAGCATAACAGCGCTCAACAACTGGAGCCGACCCTGATGACTCAAAGGGCGTCCCTCAACCGAAGATGCGTCCCGAGGGCCCTGGAAATCGTAACGTCCTAAACAAATAAAAAGGGTGTCCCAAACATTGGGAGTGTGGAACCGAGGACTCAAAGACGGCCGCGGGCGCCCAAAAACGTCCCAGGACCGGAAATTGCCTCTCAAAGAGTTTATAACGCTCAAATAGCGCTGTTTTCTACCTTTTCCTGACGCTATTTTTACCAAACGAGTTATATCATTCGGTGACGTAAAAGTGAAGAAAAAAAGAACGTTGGCGGTGTTCGTATTTTTTTGTAACATTGGGCGCAGGTTTAAGTTCCTTTAAAAAATAAAATGCCTTCCTAAACATTGTTAGTATGTTCTTGACTGCTAGAATGTGGTGCCTCGAGCTATTATAAGTGGATGGACGAAGCTCCCCAGAAATTCTTGTGAGATCTGAAATTGTCCACGGGTTTAGGCGGTCCTGAGAATAGCATAGTGCTCCCATTCCCATAGAAGCGTCTCGCTGTAATAAAAGGGCGTCCCTTACGCCTGCAAATGTCCCGCAAACGATAAACGATAAACGATTAACGATAAACAAACGATAAACGTTTTGTTAAGTATAAAAGGGCTCTCCAAGTGCCCGCTCAGGGCTTTGACTGACTTTGGTAGTGTGAAGCGACTACCATGGTGTTTGAAATCTACCTCCAAAGTTAAATGTTGCTTGGAAGTTGGAGCTTTGCTGAAAATTAAAAGATGTTGGAGCAAAGTTGTTAGTTTGGAGCTACCTCCAAGATATTCAAGTTTCCAGAGTCACAAGACACAACATATGCAGTTTTTAAGACAAGGCATTACAGCTTTAAAGACGTCCATGCGGAATAAGTTCTGTATGGTACCTATATGGTCTGGTATGCAAAGCAAATCGAAAGCATCGAAGGAAAAACAGCCGTCGCTGGGGTCCATTTCAGCACCATTGCCAACTGCGGCATACCTTGATTCGCTCAGTTTGCAACGCTCAGTTCTATATTCTGGTAGTTCAGTGCTAGAGATTCTGCTCGGCCAGTTTCACGAGTATCGCCGAGTATCACGTGCACCGTGAATCACGTGCTCAAAATGGCGCCTTCAGGCGGTTGCTCACACGGCCAGAGGCTTGGTCTGAAAACATTCCAAGTTATGTAGTGTATAATCTCATTTGCACCTGTTTAATATTCAAGCCAGGAATGGTGACGAAGTCAGGCTTGTGACTTCGAAACCGAACTCGAAGCCAAACATGACGCAGGCTTGGAGGCGAAGCCGGTGGCTCTTGAGTTTGCCTCTGTGAAGCTGAAGCGGACACCAGTGGTTTCTTATGCCTTAAAAATTAAGCCGAATTTGAAACCATTGGCTTGCAACCTTTTGTCCGCGGTGACGAAGGCTGAGTAAGTGACATTATAATTAGGAAACGCAGCGCCAAAATCGTATCATCAATTAAGATCACGAGCCCGAAATCGATGCCGATGGTGCAGCGTTGTTTTGCAAATCCGGAGCCAGTTTCACCGTCTGCTAAAAGTGCACGGAAACGCAAAATACCATCAAAATTCCGTGAAGTGATTAAGGCGGGTTGTGAACAATATGGGTGGGAATGTTTTCAGAATGTCGAGCCTCGTCATGTGTCAATATGTATACGACGTTTTGGACAGCTGAGTCTCGGGCTCACGCCAGGTGTGAGTTGGTTTGGAGAGTAGCTTGCTGGTTTTTGCGCCAAGCCATATCTGCGTCGCAGCATCGAACAGACATGTGGGGGTAAAAGGACGAGTAAGACTTTTTGTAAAGTAAATTTGCAACCACAGCAAAAATCACCGTGAAAAAGTCCAGGTCATCGATTAAGGATGACACCAGGCCAAACACCGGAGTCATGATTCAGAAGTCGTGTTCGACGCCGAAGTCAAGCAGACGTCAGTTTTTAAACATGGCGCAAAGTTTAAGTCGAAGTCAACCATTTCAGATGACACGAAGAGGAAGCCAGCCGGTGATGAAATGGTTTAAGCCCACAGCCAAATCCTTGATCGTCGGAGAAAAACTGCATTTTCGCGAAACCGAAGCCGGCGCTGAGGGTTGTCCCCATGCCAGAGCCGTGTGCGTATTTCTTGAAGTTAGTGCGCGTAACTGAACGAAAGCAACAAGACAAGCCCCTTCGTTAGTTGTTTAAGCTATTGATATTTTCCTCAGGGCTGAATAAGCTAAACTGTAAGTGGCTGTTTCCTTACTGCACTTGTATTCTAACTGTCGACCATAGGCACCAAAGTAAAGCCGATAAAGGTGCTGGGTGTTCTGATGCCATGTCAGTATTGCTAGGACTGACCGCGTGAGCCCACACTGTACGCTGATCACGTGATCATGCGACACTGCGATCCTTCAATCTCTTTGGTTTCGTTTTGATGAAGTTGTTTTATTGCTTTGGTATGAATCACCTAGGCGGTCGTGTTTTTGTTTGAATGTCTTCAGCGGTTTCATAAGCCAAAATTTGAGCATAAACAACTTGAGACTTGAATTTTTGTGTGCACGGCTGGCAGCCCCTGTACTGATCATGATGCCCCGTCCGAAGGCGGTATTCCACCGATCGGAGTTTCTGCATCCGACCCTGTAGTCATGATCAGCAACCACTTAGTTATGGCCAGCATTTTTTTTTTCACTAGTGTCGCAAAGTAGTGCTTCCGAATGCATTTTGAAACCAGTTCGTGGTATTCTAAAGGTTAGGCTTGAGCTCATATTTCAGGTACACAACTCCGAGGTTCGTCGCTGGAGTGCATTGGGAGTTACAGCAGCTATTCAACCATTACGTCAAGAGCTCGTGTGCCCATGCGTGACCTATGCTCCGTGGCTTCCAAAAGCCTTTTCAGCTGGAATAATATCGTTCAAAGGCTACACTGATGCGTACATGTCACCTATGCAATTTTAGGCCTCATTTTTTGAACGTACCACCATTTTTAGCAACACCTACTTTAGCGAATCAATACTTTTGGGAGGAGTTGGTGGTGCTGTAAATGTTAATTAATTTCGATTAGCATCGTATATTACATCAATCCTCTTGTCAAGGCTCTGGCTGCACCCAGCATATCTGCATGCACGCGTGGCATCCAAGACGACTTCAAGCGTTGTACGTAGTCCGGCTGTGCTCTCAACCTGAGCAACTACGCCAGACCCCTGTCCGCCGGTCGACGAGCTTGCTGAGTCTGCGGTAGGCAAGCGTGTCGGTATGCGCGTTTCCAGACGGGGTTTGCCCTGAAGTGCCGGTATCCGCCCCTAACGCTCTGTAGCACACTGACCCACCGTAGTTTTGTAGCATTATATTGGCGTATGTGTTGGTGACTGTGGCCAGTGCCGAAACGCTGTGACCTGGACAACTTACATCAAGCCTGCTTGCTTGCTCGGATCAAGAACTTGCTCGCTATGCTTATATCAAGCGTTCTTGCCCGCATACTTTCGTAGCTCTGATATTTCTTAGCAGCCTGCTAGCAGCCGAGACACTCCCTCAGGGACTGCTGCGGCTTACAATATTCAGGTCCTGATTTGGGTGTTACAGTGAAGATATACGCGCCGCTTTAATTTGGGATGGACACTCCTGGTCACCTGCTCATGAGTGATGACACTCCTGGCCACCTGCTCATGAGTGATGACACTCCTGGTCACCTGCTCATGGGTGACGGGAAAGAAAAAAACCGTAATGCTTCCTCGGTTTGCAGCAACGGTTCTAGACTGCTCACATCCACACGGAATGCATGCGACGTAAATTATAAATCCCCTAACCTTGGCTTGGTCGCTAACATATCGAGCAGGATCGAGGAACTGAAGATTGCAATATACCATGATTGAAGTGACTTATCTCACGCCAGGTGTTTATTTGTCACTGTCAACGGCCAGACCAGCGCTCTGTAGGGCACACGCGAAAGACACGGGTACGGAGTATTCTTTGGCGCGTACAGGCATATCACCAACATGCCATGTGGCGTGTATTGGTCGGGTCTGTAGTCAGTGAACTGTGAACAGTCAGTGAAGTGAACAGCAGTGAACAGTCACCCAAAAAGGTGATGCGTGTGAAAAGTGCAAGTAGGTCACGACAAACTCGTACGTAGGGTTGCTTTGCATACTTTCGGAGTGCTTGTGCTCCCGCGGCAATATCAGGTCCGAGATAACCTGCGGTGACGCATGAGTAGAACGAGCCTGTAGTATCCAAAGGGTCCACCAATATGCTCTGGGAAGTGTCACTTGTCTCACGTTTGCCTCCCACATGCGAGGCAGGTCACTGCATCTGTCATTGTACGTTTGGCTATACCTTTCTACCTTTGATGTTCTAGGCGGAAAACATGGGACTCCGACGGCTGTCGTCCTGCTGCTGCTGCGATCTGCAGACGGGCGTCGTCTCCATCGGCATCACGTTCATCATCCTGAACGGTCTGGGAGTGCTGTTCCTAGCACTAATCTTGAGCAGCGAGAATGTCATCCGCTCAGAGATCGCCAACGACCCATCGCTGTTCGAGAGTGGCAAGCCCAACGAGGAGCAGATTGAAGTCATTTTGGCTCGTGTCAAGCTGCTATTCGGCACATTGCTGGCCATGGCGGCTGCGAGCCTGCCGTTCGACGCGCTGCTGCTGGTGGCGGTGTGGAAGCGGCGGCACCTCTGGATGCTGCCCTGGCTTGTCTGGTACTCGCTGATCACGCTGCTGAGTGCCGCCTGGAGCCTTTACTTGGTGGGGATCTTTGTGAGCACGGGCGATTATTCTGCCGAGGCGTGGGTGTACATCGTGGGCCAGCTGGCCGCCGCCATTGTTTTCTGCTACCTCATCGCCGTGGTGATCAGCTACTACCTCCACGTACGCGATCAGCGAAATGGCGGTCGTGATTTTTCCATGCAGCCGCTGCAGACCGCGTAGTGGTGAGGACGCTCGTCCGGCTGTTGCCCGAGGAACGTGAGGAGTCGAGGACGATGGCTGGGTTTCAAGTGTGTTGTGCTTTTGAGGATGCGACCGCTCACTGACCGCCGGCGATGTCAGTCTTCAGGGGGGCGGCGTGAGACAGCAAGCGCGGAGCCAGCTGGATAATTGTCGATGGGCGAGTCTATGTCATTTGCGTATGACGCTGTGGAACTTAGTTCAGGCGTTGGAGGCATGCCAATGCTACCTGGTGCATGTTCTTTTCCTCCACCAGCAGCGGAACTGGAATCATATTTATCTGATTGCGCGGGAATTCACTGCTATCACTGCGCCTCTGTGTAACCACTTCTGACGTCGCTCCGACGTCACGTCTGACGTCACATCACCCGCCGTCCGAACCCACGTCTTTCTGCACGCACCCTCTGTTGCCTGTCGGGGTGTGACTCATCCGCCACGGGCCGCTTACACCACGTTTACCGCTCGAATCGCGACCGGTGTGCGCCGCAGTGACGTCACCGCGTCACGTGACGATAATATGACGTCACCGGTGTGCGCCGGAGCGTGCCCTGGCGTCTGTCGTACGGGAGGGAATAGAGGGGGTGTCGGCCAGGGGACCTGTGCGGCATGCGCTGGAGGGTTTTGACCTCTTGGGATGCAGATGGTCTCAGATCCAGAGTCACGTTTCCCAGCGCGCAGCCGGTGCGTGACATGCAGGGCCACCAGCCTGTCAGACATGCCCCGTCACGACACATGTTTGCGGTAACAACGCGACGAGTGAGAGCGAACTCTAGTCACGAAACGGCGCATTAGCGGCAATCACGCCCTTTTTAAGTGTGTTAGAGATACTCTTCTTTGTCGCCAGGCATCGGGTGACTGGGATAGTAAAACCTTCGTCATGATGGTGAATAAAGCTATAAAACTATGGCCATGACTGTGTTGCTGCGTACCTGCCAAACAACTTGCGTTATTGACTGATGTCCGCGCTTTGGCGGAAAATAACCTGCGTCCCGGCCGGGGTCTAGGACAAGCGTGCTCGACCGGGAGGAAGTCACTTCCCCGCTTTTTTTTTGTTTTTTATTTAATGTTTTTCATTTAAATTTAATCCACACCGACCGGCGATCTTCAGCTTTCAGATGTCGGACAACAAAACAAAGATACGGTTATGAAGTTTTCGTCACATGATAAAGGATGCAGATCTATTTTTGACCTTGGGTCAAATATGAGGTCACCCGAGGTCACCAAAAAAGGTCGTTCCGATATGTGCAAGTTAAACGTGGGTTAATACGCCAAGACTGATATTAAGGTCACAGAAGTAAGAATGTGTGAGTCCATTCCGACTTATTTTGTTCCCCACGATTGGTTGACGTCGGGCCAGATAAGAAAAATTGGCTACCAGTAGCCCACGAGAACGGTACTTTGTTCCTTTCTTTCACCATATGCTTTTGACTGAGCTTTTTATTGGGGAGATGTGGAAAAGGTATACCAGACACCAAAGCACCATTTTAGGCTGAACTAGAGGTCAGCTGAGGCCAACTTTGATTAAATAAATTAGCTATCCAAATAGAAAATTTTAAGTGCTGACCGGATCTAAGTAACCAGTGCATTGTGTCTCTGTGTGTTGCACATCTACAAGTACTTAAAATCGCGTAGCTCTTGCAAACACTTTGCCTCGTCCCTTCGATGCTTGGCAATACATTTGCAATAAACCGAAAACAGGCGCGTTGGTACATGAAATCATGCGTCATCAGGCTCACAAACTAGATGCAGAGGTAGTTGAACGCATCGCACTCGTTCATCTAGCCTCCCCGATACCGAAAACAAAGGGCATTGACCTTGGATGACCTAATATGACCTTGCAAGCACTTACGTGACCTGTTGCGATCTCGTTATGCATTAAAATGATATCTTAGCATGCTTTTAGTGAAATCTTTGAATCCTGCGCCCAGAATATCTATAAAATATGTGTATTTTGATCTCAGTTTGTATTTCGAAGAAGATATCCTAGAGCAATAGGGGTTGGCTATGACCTAGGACAATTTCATGTGCTCTGTGGTCATATCATGGCTGCATATGTCAGTAAGTACACTTTTCCTCATACACGAACTCAGTGATGCCTACGCAAAATTAAATCGGGCGCAAAACATACGGCCTTTATTTTTAAACTTAGAGCTTGACCTCTTTGACTTGGCCCAGGACACTGATATTGACAGATCAAAACTTCAAATTTTATCAAGGGACGCCAAATCGATAGAATAACGGGCACCGAAAATTTGGTGTTATTGGAAGCATTTGTTACTGAGATGTGCTCGAAAAGCGTAGGGCAGGATGTTAACTTTCCTCGGCCGGGCGCGGGTTAAGGTTGTTGACCAGACAATGGTCGCATCTGCGTACTTCTGGGTGTCTTTTGTATTTTGTCCCATAGTCCATGTAGTACTAAAAGGTCCCATGGTTTTCTATGCGAATAGGAGCGTAAGCCATCACCCTGTGACAGGATCATTTGGCGTCATGTGAGTTTGAGTTGTTGATGCCGCACGAAATCAAAGTGCTGCCCTCCAGCCTGGATGGGGAAATAGGGAAAGAGGCTGGTCACACACACAATTGGACCAGTGCTCTCTTGGCGTTGCTCAAGAAAATGATAAGTATGGATCCATGCATGGCAGGACGTGATCTGTTGTTGATATTGAAAGATAAGTGTTTAAAGCACGCTGTACCTCTCCGCTTGCAAAAATCGCTGTTTTCACACAACAGTCACCGCAATTTTGGCAGCCTCTGTTGAAATAAACACGTTCATGGTGATGTCATTGGGCGCTAGACCATTCTGATTGACGTTTTTTACAGTTTGAAAACAAGAACAGCTCTGGGTGGTCGTCGGCCGTTTGTTGTGAACGCTTTTAAGTATAAGCACCAAGGCTGGAAGTTTAAACAGGTATGAACGCTCCACGTGCGGAGAATATCATTTTCAGCCGGCCCATTTGTTGTTTGACCTTGTGAGTTGGTCACGTAAGACGAAGATTTTTTCCCATACTTTGCTCAAGGATGTTCAGGCACCCGGCCGCACCGCCATCTGTTGAGCGGAATATTAACCCGTGCGCTAGACACGGCTTCTCGGCTTCTGGAGCCTTCAAGGAGCTTCAAACGTTCCGAAGTGGAACTCCAACGGATGAATGTCGCGCAACAGCTTGGAATAGGGAATGGGGAAGGGGGCGTGCCCACAAATATTACGGAATCTGCTTTGATCACCCTATCTTCTCCTTGCGGTTCCGTAAGACCCGGTGAGCGGTATTTGATCCCGACCAAAAACTCTACAATATTCAATAAACAGGCTTATCAGTTATCTAGAAGCATTCATGCATCCCAGCATTGTGTGCGCCGTGGAGGTAAAGTTTCACAAGTGGACAGGCATGTAACGTCATTGGGGACCTGCCTTCGCATTTAATACAGGGGTGAGGGAACAAAAGCCTGTCCTGATTTTATACGTGCATGACGGAACCTAATAGCACGTAAGCACGTGCTTTTTCCATTTCACTCGATAGCACGTATTGCGAGTTTCAGCTAATGTCCTCAAGGGTGCCACTTTTTATAAACAATTGAGGGGACCGGAAGTTAACGGACCTAACCCCGTAAAACGAAAATGCACGTTTTTAGTCCACATAATTTTGATCAAGTGCCATTTACGTTTTAAGTTGTATTCCACTTATCAAACCAAACTTCATTTGAGCAGTGTTTTATCCATGCAGCTCAGCTTAATGTATCTCAAAGTAGCCATGCGGGGATGTATCCAGGAGGGGGGCCGGGGCATGAAAAATGTAAGGACGTCCCAAATCTCTTTACTGGAAGACCCCCTCCCACGAGGGACCTCAAGCTCAAAGTTATGCCTCGAGGGCAAGAAGAACCGTAACGCCCTAAACAATAGCAGGATGTTACAAACACCGGGGATGGGGCGCGGAGGCGCTGCAAGACCGCCGCATACGTCCAAAACATGTCTCAGGACCAGGTCTTAGAAACTTTATAGAGAAAGGACGCGTATAAATCGGAAGAGTGCATCTACTTAGAACAGCTCCTCGACATAAATTTGCAATTTAAATTAATTTTAATGTAGATCGTGTGTATGTGTAGATCCAAATTTAATTTGGGTCTACACATATCCCCGATCCTGTGCAAATCGACTCAGATCAGAATTGATTCACACAGTTGGTTCACAGTTGATTAGGTTAGGGTAGGTTAGGTTGGCGCAGTATTGTATACATTCACCTGTGAACAGATTTACACTGGCCTGGTTCCGCGAGCACATCAAATCAGATCTGAAAGGAATTATCATGTACGCAAAAGAGCCTTTCCGTATGTGTATCCACTACGGGATTATTTAAAGACGGGCTGCCTGTGCTGATCAACTCATTGCGTGATAAACACGGGAGCGCCATTCCGTGTGATGCCACTCGATTTGCGAGTGGATTTGAGCGGAGGAGGTGTGTTGTGTAGATGCTCTCACGACTTTATTTATCTGGAAGAGGTCTCATGTCTAAACTGTGACGTGATACATACCTCTGTTAATTGCATCGTGATGTGATCTACACAGCAGGCAGAGCTTATGCAACAGCGCTAGTAAAGAAGCCGTGTAAAGTCGGGCCCTGGCTCGACCTCCAGCGACAGCCAGCTGCTTTCCACAGGTATTGCTTTCTCACAGCGTTTCCCCGGGTTGGCCACAGCCCGACACAGTATATACACGGCGTGGTAAAGAGCTATGGGCTGACTGACCCAAACTAATTTATCCTGGCCTGAACTAATTAACGAAACTGGACTGAACCTAAGCTAACCTAGCTTTCATCATCTCATCTCATCTGATCTAATTTAGTCGAACCTAGCCTAATCCAACTCGAAACGATTAACGCATGCCAGCGTTACATAGCGGATAAAAACGGAGGTCGATAAACAGGCGCAAAAGTGATGCAACAAGTGTGGATCGATCCACACCGAGGTGAGTTTTTGTATAAACCGACATCAACTTATATTTGACGCGGTCTTCAGAAGGAAGCCATTTTCAGTGAATCGGCTCATGAGTCGATATACACGTCCACAGAAACTATACCACAGGGCCAGAGACGATTCCAGAAAAAAACAAACGGAAAAACAAACGGAAATTTACCAAAACGGAGATTGCGCCCGCCAAAAGCGGCCTGCCATGTGACGGCCGCGGCAGTGGGCGACGCTCCATCACATGTCTCTCCTCCTTTTCTCTGAAAGCCTGGATACGTCCATGACGCATGTGCATACACGATATATGGACACGCTGCTTCATTTACAGCGCACAACAGCATGGTGGCTGACACTAATATTGATTGCTCATTTAGTCCCCTCTTTTCAGCAACGCAACGGAATCTGCCTTCGCTAAAGTTTTGGCCTACTTTTTTACCAAGCATAGCGCCGTTGCATTTCCTCCTGAATGTATCCACGAACTTTAAAGTTGAAGAGAAACTGGCCATAACAGACAAATCACAAAATTGTAATTTGTCGATCTGCGCTGGTTGCATCCAAAATAATTGATAATCTTTGTAAAATGAAAGATATCTTCAATCTTGGCGAGCTACGTCCCCGCCCCCCCCCCCCCCCCCCCCCCCCCCCCCCCTGTAACAAAATCATTAAGGCTAATTTTGTTGCTGAAATTTCTGCCAAACTAAAAGAAAGCGGGCGTGTGATTGAACGAGTTTGCTCGGCATCGGCGTGTCTGTTGTGTCTGCTGTGTGGCCAGTGTGTCTGTTGCTTAGGCCAAAAGGCGGCGAGTTTTTGCGCGGAATTTTCACCCGATGCGGTTCCGACGGCGACGATTTCCAGGAACACTTGACGACGTTGTTCATCTTTCCAGCTCGTGTGCCCGTGACATGTGTCATGTGGCATCTCAAACTTTAAACATCCCATTTTTCGTTCATTGCCCTAAGGCGAGTGGGGAGCGAAATCAATTCCCAAAATTTCCATGTGCGTAATAAGGGCGACGCAAATTTGCCACCGATCGGAGGGGGGGGGGGGGGGGCTGGGCTTGCTTGCACTCCTACAACCACGTCTCGACAACGACAGGAAATGCATACGCTTCGATAATGAAATGAACGAAAAATGGGATTTTTGCAAGTTTGAGATGCCACATTACACATATAGCGTGCACCCGAGCTGAAAAGATTACATTAGCCTCCTTTGATGGTTTTACGTTTCAGCTCACAGCTTGAAATACAGTACAGGTGGAGGCATGCATTTTGTTTTACCACGTTCATAGATCTACCTCCTTTAATTTTACTTGACATCACGAATGTCTACGATGCACGGTGGCGTTGTAAATTTTTCGAGTGCTAGGATCTCTAGAAACGCTGTCGAGTGCAGGGCGCTACTGTCTCAACTGTGATCGCTCTACGGCTAAAAAGATGTTTGTTTATTCGTTCTCTCCGATATTCAGCCCTTTATTTGCCGTTTTTACCTAATGCAAAATATAAATCACGTTTAGGTAAAGGGCTGCATGATGACCTTTTACCCATGTTGGAAATGCCAATACCGCCGGATCTCATGGCTTCCAACGACAGTTCGTAAAGGGAATCACGTCCGTCTAATTGGCACCACATTCCCATTCAGATTCAGGTCCATATTCGGGATTCAGCGGAATTCTCAAATTGCCCTGAAACTTTGCACACAGATGCAGTTTAACCTCCTGAACACGATGAGCACAAAATCTCGGACCGGTACGCCCTATTACCAGAGATATATCAATATCAAAGATCACAATAAAAAAGGCGGACTCCTTCAATTCTTTCTAAACTCCGCATGCTAGTAGATATTGACCTTCTGATTACGATAAATACCAAATATTGGACCGGTGCGCTGTTTCAAAAAAGTTATAGCTGTTATAATGTCAAGGTCGCGAATGCAGCACGCATTGCATTTTATCATGCTTAACTCAGTTTCATATTCAAAATTCAGTGAACTCCTCAAATTGGCCTGAAACCTTGCACACAGATGCAGCTGGATCTCCTGACCACAGTGAGCAAAAAATATCGGACCGGTACACCCTATTACCGGAGACATCACAATATGAAAGATCACAATAAAAAATGCGGACTCCTTCAATCTTTTCCGAAATCCGTGTGTTGCTACATATTAGCCCTCTGATTACGACAAACACAAAGTTTTGGACCGGTACGCTGTATCAAAAAATTGATAGTTTTTCAGATGCCGAAGCTGCTTAGGTATGACGTATATGAGGCATGGATCACATTTTCTTTATCCTTGACTCAATCTTTGATATTGATATATCTCCGGTAATAGGGCGTACCGGTCCGATATTTTGTGCTCATTGTGTTCAGGAGGTTAAACTGCAGCTGTGTGCAAAGTTTCAGGACAATTTGAGGAGTCCGCTGAATCCCGAATATGGACCTGAATCTGAATGTGAATGTGGTGCCAACATGACGGACGTAAGGGGATCGCATGGTATCAAGTGTGCATAGCAAATGCCACGTCGCACACGCCCACGGGCTGACATGATCGGTTTGGCGGTTCTTTTTTTGGCGCGTATTGTGCCACATCTTGGCATTCAGTGCAAGTAGAGACGTGACTCTTACTTGAAAGTATCGACTAATATACCTTTCACAGTTTCAGTAAACAACACCAGTTTATAAGACACACGGTCACTCTGTAAGTCGTCGAAAAAGTAGGGAATGTCGGCATTTTGGAAAGCGCTGACGATCGTAGACAGAACACGGGCGAAGGAAGTTTGCTCCCGATTGGCGGCCAGCCGGCGAGACGCGCCATCCCGTACACATGACCCATCAACGACGGGTCGGCCAGCCGGCGAGACGCGCTGCCCCGTACACATGACCCAACAGCGACGGGTCGGCCAGCCGGCGAGACGCGCCATCCCGTACACATGACCCATCAACGACGGGTCGGCCAGCCGGCGAGACGCGCCATCCCGTACACATGACCCGACAACGACGGGTCGGCCAGCCGGCGAGACGCGCTGCCCCGTACACATGACCCATCAACGACGGGTCGGCCAGCCGGCAAGACGCGCTGCCCCGTACACATGACCCAACAACGACGGGTCGGCCAGCCGGCGAGACGCGCCATCCCGTACACATGACCCATCAACGAGTCGGGCTGTACTGCAAGAATTTCGACATATTAGTGCTGCGTGAAATTTATGCTCTGAAGACTAATACCCGTGATTACTCCTACCACAAGTAACTTGTAGGTTTTTTAGGCAAAGACGACATTGGTACTAATGTAAATGCTCGCACATGACATTAGTTCCACGCGGCAAAATGTCTCCTTCAGAAACTCAAACCCTTTAATGATTGCAGTTGTATGCGGTTCTCAGTTAATATTGATGACCATATAAGTGCATAAAAATGCATGCAGGTCTCGTTAATATTGCTCGCTTACGCTGATGTACAATAAAACACTTTTTATTTTCGGGATATACGAGAGCTTGGATGACTAGCGTCATACAAGCCTTCGGCTTCTCGGAAGATATGTTTTGAAGGTTTTATCATGAGGACCTCCTTTTCCCCGTCGAACGATGGCCAGGTACAGTAAGACAGTGGAGTTTGGTCCTGATTACAGCTGATGCAGTAAGGCTGGCCAGAGATGCGGTTGTCGCTCAGGTGGACGGTGGACGAACATTTGCTGCGCACTGACTTCTTTCGCCAATGTGGTTCCGTATGGCCGAACTGTTGGCATTGAAGACGGCACATGGGATTGGGAGCAAGTCGGACTTTCACGGACGCATACCCCACACAGATTTCTGATGGTAAGTCTGGACGACTGAAAGTGAGAGTGATGTTGTTTGCAGCCGTCAGTTGTCCTCCTCTCCTGACCAGGATTCTGAGCCTGGCGGTTACGCCGCACTCCGAAAGCTCCTCGATGATTTCACCCTCATTTACATTACGGAGGCCAAAGCAGTTAACGACTTCTTTACATTTTGTTGTTGTTGTTGTGTTGTACAGCGTTACTACCCAAGCTGCAATTTTGTCATGTTTTCCGTTCTCGTCTCGAATACCACAAAATGATTCCTTCGATCCAAATGTCCGCTTCGTCTCCAGCCTGTTGGCCAACCCTACATCTATGTCAACATCCCTCAGCTTGTCACATCTCGTGATCTTTCCGAACTTGTCACAGTCGTTCCGTCGTTGGACCGTGACCGGTCTTATATTTCAAGTCTTATATCTGCACTGGACGGGTGAGAACCCGAGGGGAAGTGGTCCGAATTCTCCTCGCACTCGGGCGTTGGCACTGCGCGACCTCCTTTCAGGGGTCGGGTGTTTGTCTTGTTTTCAGGCGCCACGCGATTTTCAGTGAGCGTTCAGCACCAGCGCTCCCCACCCACTTCGAAGCCCGCAGGGGGGAAGGCCCAACACTCCCTCGGAGATCGTCCCCGTTAATGCTACTCCGATGCTTTACGGGGCAAACGACGCTCCCATATACGGCCGGGTGTAACTGGATATATTTATCCCCGTGCTGACCGTGGTTCAGCTCCACGTCCCTTAACCTCTTGAGCCACTGACTGCTGAGCTCGGCCAAGCGCCCCAAGCGACGATCCGCCGGAGCAATTAGCCGCCTTCCTCCTTCCGGCCCTACACAGCCGATAGCACGAGGATGAGGAGTGATGAGCGAGCAGAATGCAGGAATGCGGGTGACGGGAGCGAGCGGGCGTGATAAGGGGCTAGAGCTCACGTGCCAGCGGGGTTGCTAAGCCCCGCAATGAACAGCCTGCGCTGTCCAACTGCTACCGGCGCTGGGGCCCGACGGGTCCCAACGCCGGCCGAAGCCGGTATCCATGCGGGAGTTCCCCGGCTGCCCACCCCCTTGAAAACGATACTGCCCAGGAGGCCCGCTGTGAGGAGACCTCATTTTGTCAAGGAGGCCCCCTGGAGAATCTTGTCCCAACTCAAAATCCGTGACGCCACCCCTGGACCGGGTGTGTATCCTCCGTGCTTCTGCATGCGTCGCTCCTGCTTATTTACCTCGAATTTTTGTCCACGCCTTGAAAGGATCTGAGGTCCATGGGAAGCAAATGGGAAACTGGTGGGCATTCAACATACAGTGATGGATTTTTTTCCCATGCTGGTCAACATTGTATTTAGTAGCGTCGTATGTTCCTGAATTATGAGAGAATCTAGTTCACTCATTTACGTGATTTAACCAAATTTTATGATATCTTATAAGACATAACATACTATTTTTTACATAAATTTTACGAAAAACGTCATAAAAAGGCAAAAATTAGGACAAAAAGCTCATTTCTAGATTTATTGTGTTCATCCGCGTAACGTCAGCACCAGCTGTGGCTACTCTGGCACTGCGCAGGCGCAGTGAGCTCTCGCCCTGTGTCGGCTTGGACAGGTGAGGGTGCGGGAGCAGAATCGTGCAGTCTACTTTACTGTTTGATAATGCGTATTTTTTTGCCATTGACTACTTGATGCTTGTTCCAGAATCCAGCGGCAAAGTGGATACCATCAAGGGAATTCCAGTATCTTAGGACGGACCCCACGGGAGCAGTACTGTGAGTGTTTTAATACCGGCCATGCATGGCCCTGCTGTTGGATAGGCGCCGGAAGTAGCACAATTGGGTACTTATCAGCCAGATTAGGTGGTAAGAACGCCCAGCAGTCAGGTGCATTGCATGCCTAATTCTCGTTCGTGCTGGGAAATGAAACATCTGGTCCAAAATATATCTTTGTATGCCGCCTGTTACTAAAGAAGGGATTTACTTCATTACCTGATGCTAAAATGTGACCGGAGTATTGCAAAGTTGTGCATTCCATCTTTAGCCAGATGGCTGTAGATGAATGTATGTCTGCTATCTTGAATATTTTTTCCATGCTATGTCAAGTTTCTTTTGAGAGTTCCACATGTTATTCTATTTCGGTCATGCCGAATAACGGCCAGGTTCTGGAACTCAAGCCCAGTGATTCTGGGTCACAAGTGCATCATATGCATATTATCAGCATATTGGTATTCTTTGGAACACATGCCATGCCAATTTGTTGGGGCATGGGCTATCCAGGCTGTTAAGTTATATGTCCTTGCAATGGTGTCCAGGGTGCTGCATGCATATGTATGTGTTTCTTTCTCTTGGCCAGTGGGAATAGGTGTAAGCTTTAATTAACATTTTAAGTAAGTAGCATTAAGATTCACTGGTGGTGAACTGTACTTTGCCAATTTTCACCCTGAAATGTGGCCAGATGTGGGTCTGGCTTCTAGGTGGAAATGCAAATATTCTATGGTGTCACCTTGTGTGCTCCTCACAGAGAAGCCCACATCACATTTTATTGTGGTGGTCATAGTTTGGTGATTATCTAAAAGCCTCAGATGTACTTGCTGCAGATAGCAATTATTCTCAGGCCCGATCCTACTCATAGCAATGCCAACAGATAATGTGCATATGACAGCATGCAGCTGATTATTAAGGCACAACACCAGCAGACACTAATCTAATAAGGGGTTAAAGCTTGTTAATGGGTTAAAGCAGGTTAAAATACCTGAAAGAAGTGTTGTGTGAGCTCTGATATGGGACATCATGTACTGTATAATATAATTATTCAATTGACCAGACAGCCTATTCATGCACTAAGCTGGGATATAGGGTTTGGGACACATCTCATTGATCCCCACCATCTGGTTTCATCCTCAGTTTCCCCCCTATGGTCCTCAGTCTAAATCAAAGTCACATTTCCAGCTATTGTGTGGAATGGTCTTGTGGCCATGCCACCAGAGTGGTCTCTCCCTTTATTGGTTTTTAAAGTGAAAGTATGGAAGTGTATCACTAGTTATGGTGGTTATTTTAGGTTATTAGTTTTTGTGGTATGAAGCAGTTCATATTTGCAGCATTTGAATGCATGGGTGGCTACTCACTGCAGGAATGCAGAGTATTCACTGTGGATCAGAGGGCTGCTTTTGTGCAATCAGTCAGTTAAGTTATTAATTGTGATGCTTGAGATGATCAAAAGCAGTCTATTGGGTATGCTTCCAGCATTTCCATGTCATAGTTTTATGCCTTATGGAAGTGCCTGTTTGCTGTATAATTTTGTTGTATCAGCTGGCTACATCACAATCTTACAAACTGTCATGAACTAGCCTGGGCTGGGTACTCAAGAGCTACTCCATTGCCTCAGCAGTGTGAGTTGCCATAGGTAAACACTGAAACCAGCTGCAGGTCTTTTGGCTTTAGGTGGGAATGGCAAGAATAGGAATGTTTGAGAAGCTGCACAGCATATTATTGGTATGCTTTAGTGAAACTTAGATGTATGCGATGGGAGTCTGCATTCAAAACAGACCACTGGAGGTAATTATATATGTAAGTTGAGATCCTGAGTCATTGAGCAGCAGCTGCAAGGTTTCCTTCCCTGCAGTGCCTGGCCTTTTTGCCAGGGTGAGAGGCATGTGGTGCCATTAAGCTCAGCAGCTGAGTGCACCTTAAAGCCCCAGTGGCTATTCAGGAACAGTAAAGTGGGGTGGCTTTGTGCAGCAGGTCACACTGTTTCATGACATTTAGGGCTGATATTCCATGGGCAGCAAACTTTGCATGAAATTTAATCCTTAGTCATTAGTGCTACAAACATCACTGCCCCATCCTATCATCCCAAGAAACAGCTGGTGCAATAATTATGGTGAGCTCAAACTAATTTGCTATGTAATACTGTCACCCATGTACTGAACTGTCCCTGTGGTCCAGAGTATTCAACCCTCCCCCAATCTTATCAGCTATAAGAACACTTCCCAGATTAAATACATATTGTTATCAGCCATCATGCAAGTTGTGTTTTGAAGCATCATATGTGGCTCAGTCACCTGCTGATTCATGCAAGGCGTTTAAAAAAACAAGGCGTCAATAATCCATTCATACTGGGCTGTTAGTGCCCTTACAGTGTTCAGTTCCCATCACCAATTTGCCTGCTATGGTCCGTTATTGTGCGGGTCCTTACACGTAAAACGACCTGATCTCATGGCTTGTGCGGAAAACCGGAATGCCCCACCTGCCTTTCAAGGTGGCCCCCGAGGCGTGAGAACCGGCTTACGGCTTGACGGCGACCATTTTCCTGTTACGGGGCTTAGTTTCGATGCAGCGGAACTGCAGCTGTGACATTTTTAGACAGATCGGGCGCGGATGAAGCGTAAACGGGCTTAACGGGCTAAGCGTAACTTTTCATTGGGCACAGGTGTGTGTGGCGCCACTGGGCGCGGGTGTGTGGGGCTGTTGATGACCGCGTCCCTGTCGCTCGTAATGAGATGCTGTATGATGTGGCCATAGTGTAGACTATCGAGTACGTCCGTGTAGATTGGGTTCATTTTGTGCCTTACATAGAATATGGATTTAGTTCGTTATCACGAAATCTACTGGGTCCTTTAAAATTTCTATCTGCATCCAAAAAGGAACATAATGTTAAGTTGGCGGAGCGGCACGAGTGCTCAACATCTAAGAAAAAAGTACCTCCATCGGCACCCTCTCGTCTTCTGGTTTCTGGTACACAGGACACTTGCCATTTTGAACAGAGATCCTCCCGTGCGTCCCCACGTAGAGGCCCGTCTGTCCCCCAGAAGCAACCTCGGGCAATCCGTGCCGTCTCTCTGTGGGCACCTTTGTTTGAACGCGGCCCCCTTCCCTCGCTGCTTAGTATCAGTGGATAACCTTTAATCAGTGAGACGGCTTTGTTACGAATGACCTCTGCCATTCTGAACGGAGCGGTATTGCACCTACCAATGCAATATTCTGCGACTTTGTGTATGGACAGAATATGGACGTGTGGAAAAAGCGTGGGAAGGGGCTGCCAACGAAAGGACAAAACGGCGATAAGTAAAGGCTATGATTTGCTGCTGCGGCCCGCGGAGCGGCGTCCGCAAGACGTACAATCCCATACTTTTACTTTATTTGCAATGCTGCCTAGACGACTTTCGGCGCCGGTGCAGGTTTTAGGCATGGATTTCGGTGGTGTTTGTCGTTTGTGCTGAGATATTCTGCATTCGTGTTGCTTAGGTGATCTTGCGCCTGGCTTCCTTTTTGGGCGCGAGTTGAAATTTACTCGGTTCTCAGGTTTCGCGTTCCGTGCAACAATTAAAATAAGAAAGTGGGCTAGAATTGCTTTTGACCTAGGATGAGGAAGGAAAATTTGGCTACAAAAAGACGATAAGCGAGTGGAAAAAACTAAATTTACAAAAGCTGGAATCAAAATGGTCAGTGAGAGATGCCCCTGCCAGCATAAACATGTTTTAATTTAACATGAAATTGGACCCGTACACGTGACAAAAATGTTTATATTCTCACGTCGTAGGTCATTACTGAGTCATATGAGGAAAATTTCCAAATTTAGCTATAAGTCATGTTTTGGACTCAGGTAAGTTCAGCAATATGTGTCTCAAAGAGGAAAAAATATTGTCTTTAAGGGCCAGCTTCTCTCTTACAAAATCAGCACATTTGACGCAGTTTACGAACAGACTGGGTCACCATATTTTTCACCTCTGAATTAGATCAAGACAAACAAAAGTAGGCTAACCGAATCAAACACTAAGAGCCTTTCTTTCAAGTCTTTGCTCATCTCATGCGACACGAAATTTGTGAAAATGACATTCAAGCTGCAACAGTTAGCTGTTTTGCATTCACATAATTTTTCACTCTTTGTTTTTGGAATGGTACGAGTTAGTAGCTAATTCTCTTACGGAACGAATGACATGGAGGCAATTTATCCATCAAGCTTTGCGTGTGGTTGCGTGGTGTGATAAGAAACTTCCAGGACGCAAGAAACCCTCACATTTTCCACACAGGTGTCTCCTGTATTTTATGTGATGTATTTTGTAAACAAATGAGAGTTGATAAACGCGAGCGGCTTTTGGTCCCGAAGGCAGAGCACACGTAGGGGGGACACCCAGGATTAGGTTGCATAGTACGCGGCTCGAATGCGGCTTGCTGGATACGTGCATTTCATATTAAGGTAAGATATCTTGCCTCTCTTTTCGCTACCAAGGCCAACCTTTCATCGCGATTGGGCGTGGATGATGGGCTGTGCTTGCAACTAATGCAGGATAGTATTAGCCATCTCTGGATCCCTTGCCATGCTAGCAACATCGTGATGGTTTACATTTGTCATTGACAAATACCACGAAACGTTCCATTATGATTCACGTATACTGTTCAGATCTGGCTTGAGACATGAACAGGCAGGTTATAGTGGTTGCGGCTTGGATGCTGATTGAGCGATTCAAGCACAGGGAGGATTCACACATGACTTGGGTGTAGGTAAATCAGAAAACAGCCGTAGCTCTCCAGGTGCTGTGGGGCCTTGTCTAAGCTGGGTCCTGTCACGTGATCCAGGACTTGGAGGACACCGTATGGAGGACATAGAGACGTCTGTGGGAGGAAAATACGTGGTTGTTTTATGTGGCAGACAATATCAGGTGGGAGTTAAACATTCGCTAAGAAATAGGGGAAAGAAGTGAACAACTGTTCCCCGTAGGGTGTTGTTTTACAGTCGAAGAGGGCAGTTCTGCGGCACTTAAATGTAAGCGTTGGCACCAAATGACTGTCAGCAGAACTTCCAGAACAAGCCGACCTCATCCTGTTGTCGGCGTGACGGTTTCACAGGTTCCCATGCCTATGAAATCGCGGCCGCGTGTTTGAATAAACCCGCGGCCGCGCACGCATGCGGTGGGAGCGGCCAGCTGCCACGTGTAATGATACGAGGCGCCTCCGTTTGCAGTGTACTGTAACGACACGGACCGAACATGGACCAGACACAGTTGCAGCAGCAGCAGCAGCAGCAGGAGGCTGTCGTGCCGGACGGCCTGCCGGAGCCGGAGGTGGCCGCCGACGCGCCGGTCGTCTCCTACAACGATCTGTTCCCGGCACTGCCCGACAGCGGCCCCGAGGCCGGCGGCCAGATGCCAGGACAGACCAACCCTTGGGCGCAGCGCATGCGCGTCGGCACGTCCAGCGTGACCCAGGTGCGTGCGGCGGCGGTCAGCGCCGGCTCGCCGCCCGCCGCGGCCGAGGTCCCGGCGCAGACACGTGGGCTCCTCACGGATGGCGTGTGTCATGCGAACAGAACCCCGCCGTGGTGTGGATAGGTCAGTCAAGGAGTTAGAGCCTAGTTAGAGTTATAGTCTGGTAGTTGGATATTTTTTTTCAAAATTGTCTGTGACATCGTTTCCATAATGCTTCGTCTGCGATTACCCGCTGTGCGCTGAAATCCCAACGGCTAGGAGCAGCATATTGCGGCTTTAATGTGCGAGTCAGCTTAATTTTTATGCAATCATTAGTGGCTTAAACTGGTTGTGCATTACCATGGGTACTATTCATCATACTGGCTCGAATGGAGCCTCCATTCATGGAAGCTTCGGTTTGTGGCACATTTGGCAATCGCAGCTATTATACTTTGATTTATTGTCTTACCGCTTTAAAGCGCAAACATACCGCATATGTCCAGTCTCATCTGTAAGGTATTCACATATAAAAATGCCCTTGATGGTGCCTCTGGCCCGCCCATCCATTATGCTCTTCTTGTCTGAGTATGATTTGTTGGGCGTCGGCTTTGCATTTACTTGTGGTATGGGGGCAATGCCCTGAGCTTGTGGAGGTTATTTCCGCCGTTGTCAGACGCCCTAATGACACGTCTGTTAGTCGATCCTGGAGTACAGAAAACAGCACGTGTCCTGGTGTCGGGATTTCCCGGCTGGCGGTCATCATGGTGGCCCTGGCCATTGTTGCCCGACGGGCGTCTCCCATAATGTTGCCGTGTGTGTCCCAAGGTGTTCCACGTGCCATCGGAGGAGCGCAAGACGGACAGGTTCGGGGAGGACAGCTCGATGCGCGCGTGCGGCGAGATCATGCAGAAAACGGGCACTAACATCGAGGCCTCGACCGGACGCGACCACAGTCTGACCTTCATCATCAGCGGCAAGCAGGAGCAGGTGCTGCGCGCCAAGCGACTCATCCTGGAGAACTTCCAGACGCAGGTCAGCGCCCGTTCTGATGTACGGTGGAGTCGCGGTGACCCGTCCGGATATGGACCCGTCTGTGTCGTAACCAGTGTACCTGTCACCTCCCGGACCTTGGTCAGTGCTCTTGACTGGTGGCCTGCAACGTTATGGGGTCTCGTTTGCGTGCTGCGTGCCGGCGTTGCACGGCACTTTGTTTCCCTGCGTATGGGGGATTTTGCTTTTGCTGCCATTACACCATGCTGCGGGCTCTCGGAAACCAGTGTGGCAGGAAGAGCAGGAGGGATTGTAACTCGGCTTGGACCGAGTCGCACTGTCCGCACACTGGCTGGTCCGACGTACACCCTGACATCCTACTCTAGCCCCGACCCCCCATCCGGCACCCGATGACCCCCGATCCGGCATCCAGGGACCCCCGACCCGGTACCCGAAGACCCTGATCCGGCACCTGATGACCCCCGATCCGACACCCGACGACCCCGGACCCGGCCGCCAGGGACCCCCGACCCGATACCCGAAGACCCCGATCCGACACCCGATGATTTTTGCTCCCGCACCGGCAGGTGACGCAAAGCATCAGCATCCCAAAGGAGCACCACCGGTTCATCCTGGGCCGTGGCGGCCAGCGGCTGCGTGAGCTGGAGGCGCAGACGGCCACCAAGATTCACGTGCCGGGCCAGGCCGACCCTAGCGACAAGGTGAACGTGACGGGTATCAAGGACGGCATCGAGAAGGCCGTCCACGAGTTGCAGTCTATCAGCGACGAACAAGTGAGTGGTGACTGGCCAGCCGTACGCCCCCGCGCACCTGCCCCCTCCCCCATCTCTCGGTGTCGGCTCTGTGTGACGGGATGTCGGCGTCCGTCTGATGTTACTCTCAAGCTAACGCAGTATGCGTTATGAAGCCAGTGATGGGCGTCGACCTCCGGTGGTTATAACACGCATAGGCTCATGTGCTACTCTGGCTTCTCTGCCAATGTTCCTGGCTGTGCATGGCTAAGCAATGTTAAATGTTTAAATATCTGTTCACCCAAGTGTACCGCACGAGTACCGGAAATCATATCTCGATCGCAGTTGAAATGCGTTTATGAATGTAGTTTTAGAGTGCGTAGAACTGCGAGAAATTGGGTGTGCCACTCCCAGGCATCCAATTACGTTCCAAGATGCATTGGGGGGAATTATTTGACTGTATGTGTCAGGGAAGTGCGCGAGCCTTGTAACCTCCCACGCATTCGAGATGATTCGTGGTATTCGTTTCCAACCACCTGATGGTTGGTGACATATCACCGATGAGGTCACCTCATCACCGATCACCGCAAAATCACTGACACAAATCATCAACTGTAATTGGAATGGTCTTAATGGTTTAAAGCTGATAGTTCATCCTGACGCAAATGAAGTTTGGTGTCATCGAACGGTCAGCACCAATCGTCTCCAGACCCGTCGCTGGCTGGTGTAGCCATGCGCCGGTCGCGAATGCCTGCTGACCCGCGCCCGCTGCGTCGTTCCAGTCGAAGCAGGCGTACGAGAAGCTGGAAGTGCCGAAGAAGTACCACCCGTTCATCTGCGGCGCGCACAACGAGAACATCATCCGCATGCAGACTGAGAACCCGGGCATTCGGATCAACGTGCCGCCGCTGTCGGTGATGAAGGACGAGCTGACGGTGACGGGCGAGAAGGAGGGCGTGATGAAGGCCAAGCAGCAGATCCTGGCCATCTATCAGGAAATGGAGCGCAAGTGCACCGGCTTCAGCGTCGAGGTGCGCAAGTCGCAGCACAAGTACCTGATCGGGCCGCGCGGCAACGGCATTGCCGAGATCCTGCAGAAGACTGGCGTGTTCGTGGAGATGCCGCCGTCCGACTCCACGTCCGATACGATCACGCTGCGCGGACCGCAGGACAAGCTGGGCGAGGGTGAGCCGCCCCCCCCCCCCTCCCCCGGCGCTTCGGGGGCAGCTAGTGCCGCAGAAGGGTGTTCCCTCCTCCCCGGCGCTTCGGGGGCAGCGGGTACCGCAGCAGAAGAGTATCCCCTCGGCGCTTCGATGGGCAGCAGGTGTAGGCGTGGTGGGTGTGGGGAGGTTGGGATCCCGCATTGCTTTCACGCTGGGCAGTCTAGTTCACACGCATGTTCTTTCCCAGAAAAAAAGTTTGTAGCAGATCAGCTCGCTGTAGGTCATGTGTATTCAGGTTGAAACTGTTATTGCGGAACGTCATGTCTCCGGCTCATGTTTGATATTGTTTGGTGGAGAGAAAACTACTCAGCTTTATATTCGCAACCGAACTGGGCCATTCCTTCCCAATTTGTAGTGGAGTTTGTGTCGCGCTCTCAGGGCGCGTCGCACCGTTCCTCAAGGTACGCGTTTGTTGGCCGTGCCGCGCCGTGTGGTGACGCGCCGGACATGGCCGCGTTCCAGCGCTGACCATGGTCTACGAGAAGGCCAACAGCGTTATGATGACCGAGGTCAACTGCCCCGTGTGGTGCCACAAGTACATCATCGGCAAAAAGGGCGCCGAGATCAGGCAGATCACCGCCGACCTTCCCAAGGTGAGGCCCGCTGCCGGGGGCTCGATGGCCCTCCCTCCAGTGTGTGTGTGTAGCGCAGCGCGGCAGGGAGGGGAGGGGCGAGGACTGTTGGCGGCTGGTGGTGATGGTCGAGCACTCGGGCGCGTCTGGGGCCCGTCCGCCCGGCTCACTGATGTCCGATGCACGGGGCAGGTTTGCGCTGCCGAGTGTGTCACCGGGACGCCGCACTGGCGTGTCATCCGCGTGTGCGTCCGGGCGCGGCCGGTGTGGCCCGGCCCCGTCGCTGCCCAGCCCTGTTGTTACACGGTGCCCCTGACACGGGGCGTCGTGTCGTCATCGCCGCGGTGTCAGCAGCTGGCGGCGGCGTGGGCCGTGCCCTGTCGGTCGGCCTGACGCCGCGGTCCGCTCCAGGTGCACGTGGAATTCGACACGGGCTCCAGCAAGGTCAAAATTGAGGGGCCGAAGGAGGACGTGGAGAAGGCCCGCGAGCGCATCGAAGCCAAGGCCAAGGAGCTGGAGGACAGCATGTGTCAGGAGCAGATTGACGTGCCCACCAAGTACCACAAGCACATCATTGGCAAGGCCGGCGCCAACATCAACAGGTAGGTAGCGGCGGCGGCGCCGGCGGCGGTGATGTGCGTTTGACTGGGCGTTGCTATAGTTACAGTGCGTCGGCCCCTGCCATTGCACGGGGACGAGGGACAATCTTTCCGGTCCCAGAGACGTCTTCCGAATCGTTGTGTTAACGACAAAGACAGTCGAGCAAACTGCGTTGGGAAAGCATCCATCCCAGATATTTAAACAAGGCGTCAAGTTAAGCTTCTGTTGAGTCACCGAAGTCGGTCGGACATCAGACGAGCTGTCCCACCACCGCTGGGTTTTCCCAGCGCCCCACAGCGGATCAGAGTCGTGTGACACGATCCAGCTGTGTGGTGGCTGTGGTGCGGCGTCGTCCCGCTGGTGAAGCCGGGCCGCGGATTGCTTGGTCGGTTGATATCGGTAGATCTGGGCGGCGGCTGGTTGGGCCAGCCCGCAGTGCCGAAGGGTGTGGCGTGGCGTGTTGGGGTGTATGCGTGGGCGAGGTAGGGGGTGAGCATGGCGAACACAGCCGACCGGCGGCGATTGGCGGCTGCGCGGGGCGTCAGGGCCACGCCCTTTGTACAGCTTCGTGAGCTCGGCTCTAAGAGCGTGAACGCCAGAGGAGCTCGCGCGCTGGAGGTCTGTACGCTGCCTCAAAAGGCGGGCTAGCCAGTCGGATCAAGACATGGATGAAAGGTGACAAGCAGTTGGCACGTGTCTGGCAGCCGGCGCCGACTACGCTTAGATGTGGAATCGGCGGTATCTTTGCGGAACTAAATTTGAAAGGAAATCTTCTTATCAAACGTGCTTCTAGTCATAATATATTGACATACTGTGGCTACTGATGTGCCATTTAACTCCTGTGGTTATCGATATGATTGATTAGCAGACACTGGTCATTGGCATGGTGTATTTGTGTACTGGGATTACTTACAGCCTATCACGGTCATTAGATGCTTCGGAAAACCCGATCTCAATTTGTCATATGCCTCGGCACTTTTGGTGAAATACGTATGAGGGCTTGGTATGGACAAGGGATTACGAGCTGGAGGGCTTGAAGGTTGTGCGAGACCGGGGAATATCTCCAGACGGGCGCGCCGTCTGCTCGCGGAGTGAAGCATGGGTGAGCTCGGCCATCGCATGGCTTCCAGACCTCGTACTGGTTACAACTTCTAGGACCTGCTCACCGTGTGCTGAACATCTTGCCTCCTGAGTCGTTTATGGGTATGCATTCTCTTCGGGGAGGGTGGGGGGTCGGAGGGCCACTCTGACCGTAGCCTTCTCTCTTGGCGAGCATCTCGCCCCGGACCGTCAGGTGGGACACACCGCGCTGCTGGTCACTCAGCGCGCTGCTGGTCACTCAGCGCGCTGCCGGTCACTCAGCGCGCTGCCGGTCACTCAGCGCGCTGCCGGTCACTCAGCGCGCTGCCGGTCACTCAGCGCGCTGCTGGTCACTCAATCGCGCTCCTGGTCACTTCATCGCGTTCCTGGTCACTTAGCCGCGCTCCTGGTCACTCAGCCGCGCTGTAACATGTTTCAGGATCAAGTGTGAGTACAGCGTGTACGTGTCGATTCCGGAGAACGAGTCCTCGACAACGGTGAAGATCGAGGGCCCGAAGGAAGGCGTCATGGGCGCGCGTGACGAGCTGCTCGAGATGACGGCCAAGATGGAGAACGAGAAGGAGCGCGACATCATCATCGAGAACCGCTTCCACCGGCAGATCATCGGCTCCAAGGGCGAGACGATCACGCAGATCCGGCAGAAGTTCGAGCAGGTGCAGATCGTGTTCCCACGCCAGGGTGAGTGTCCGCTGCGGCTGTGACGGCGGCGGCGGCGCTGGCACCGCTGCCGCGCCGACTCTCGCGGAGCGGATCGGTGTCCGCGAGCATTGCCGCTCGATGCGGGCTGACGCGGTGACCTGGGCCACCGTGCCTGGGTGCTTCCACCTCAGACACTGGTTGTTTATTCGATTGCACTGATGTTCGATAAGTGACGATTTGACGGGGCGCTGATGCGTTTGACTGTCGCGCCGATCGGCCATCGCTGCCAGACAATGTCGTTGTTAGCCTCAGAAGCGAGCAAACACGAGGCCAAGTCGTCGCCGGCGCTCGACGGACGTGTGCGGGCGAGCCTCGGCCGTGCTGGAGTCTCCGCGTGACCCGCCGACCGATGTTGGCTTTCCTTGCAGGCGAGAAGTCTGACGTGGTGAAGATCCGTGGCCCCAGAGATATGGTGGACCAGTGTTACAAGCACCTGCAGAAGCTGGTCAAGGGCATGCAGGAGGCCGGCTACCAGGTAAGGCAGCGGCGACGCCACCGGTAGCGCCCGAAGTGACGCCACTGGCAGCGCCCGAAGTGACGTCACTGGCAGCGCCCGAAGTGACGTCACTGGCGGCGACCGGACAACCCCGGGCATCCTCCCCATCGGAATGGCACGGGCTGCTGCCGATAAATGGGCACCAGTGACCAAACGGAATGTTACCGTCGACGGCTGACGGGTCTGCGGGCTGGTGGCAGCATGAAGAATTGCGCTGCACATGCGTTATGCGCCTGACCTTGGCCTTGATGGGTTATCGTTTTACCAATCATCACCACGCGGCAGTCGACATTCTTCGCGGCTCTGATAAAGCTCAAATGACAACGGGCCGGGTGGCTTAAGCCTGGAAATAGATCATTGCGCAGCAAGTTCCAAGCGCAAATTCTCACCGCCCTCCATGTATGTCGAGCGTGACGTTGGGTAGCCCGACTCCTGCTCTGTTCAGTGGTATGGAGTATGGATCGCTGGCCAGATACGCGGCGAGTCTCTACAAAGGAGATGTGCAATGCCGCCGTATCGCTCCCAGCTAATCAGCTCGTTGCTCGCGCCGCACCCGGCTCATTTGCCGATCCGGATCAAGCTTACATAAACCTTGGCCTTACCACGTAAAAAGACATGAAGTTTTGCGGTCTGCGACCAACAGTTCTCGAGTTATCAAAGGCTAACCGACAGAGTTCGCCCGGTATTATATAAGGTTACACCGTATTGCATGGGATGACACGTAGCGCCAGAGTGGTGTCGGATGGATGTGAAATGCACTGGCCGACGAATGCACTGTGTGGGACCTGACCCAGAACGCGCCCTGTCGGCAGCGGGCGCCGAGTTTGGTGAGTGGGCTAAAGCAGGGAGGTGTCGCACAGTCCCGCGCGTCCCTCCGCGTGTCGCCTCTAACCCCCCCCCCCCCCCCCTTCCTCCGTCGCAGGAGCGTGTCTCCATCTACAAACAGCACCACAAGTTCATCATCGGCAAGGGCGGCGCCAACATCCGCAAGATCCGCGACGAGACCAACACGCGCATCGATCTGCCGGACGAGTCGTCCGACAGCAGCGAGATCGTCATCACTGGCCGCAAGGAGGACGTGCTGGCGGCGCGCGACCGCATCCAGAAGATCCAGAACGAGCTCGACAACATTGTGCAGCGCGACATCATGGTGCCGTGCAAGTTCCACAACAGCATTATCGGGCCGGGCGGCCGGCTCATCCAGTCCATCATGGAGGAGTGCGGCGGCGTGCAGATCAAGTTCCCGCCCTCCGAGAGCAAGTCGGACAAGGTGAGCGGCCTCCGTCGCTGGCTGGCGAGGGCCGAGACGCGGACCGCCGGCGGGGCCGGTCGCGTCTGGTTCAGGGCAGGGCACAGGCTCGGGGCTTGCGTTTTGCCCCGAGGATCGGACTCGGTTAGCGATCGACAATGCGACGTTCTTTAAATCGATAGCGCGATCCGGACACACTCGCCACCAGTCGCCTGCGGCCCATTGCCATTCACGCTCGGCAGCGGCTGGGTGACCGACTACAGGGCGATTGACGGATGTAGGGGTCGAACAGATGGCCGTGGCACCAGCGCGTGTCGCTCACGCCAGTCCAGCGCCATTGTGTCGGGGTGCGGCTGTGATCTGAGCCGGGCCCATGCCCGAGCGGGGCAGCGCTCCGAACATCCACACGTCGGCACCCCGCCCCCGGGACGCGGTGCCGCACCCCGATCCCTGACACGTTGGACTACAAATCATGGCCAACCATGGACCAGTTTCGGCCTCCCGTCCTTCAGCCGGTACAATCCAGTGGGGCGCCCGTCACAAGCGCGCACATATCTCACCGGCCATCGCAGGCCCCGGTCCTGGCAGTGACCTGTGACACGGTCCCAGGCCCCCGCTACGTGCATACATCCGTAGCATGCGTTCCTTCGCCCGCCCCTGACACGGGCAGTACGCGTCTACAGGTGACGATTCGCGGCCCCAAGGATGACGTGCAGAAGGCGGAGACGATTTTGGTCGACCTGGCCAACGAGAAAACGCTCAACGGCCATACCGCCGACGTCCGCGCCAAGCACGAGCACCACCGTTTCCTCATCGGTGAGTACCCTTCTCCAGTGTCCTTCGGCGGGAGTAGCCGAGCAGCGATCCTTCTTACGACCACGGGAGTTGTGTCCGGTTAAATGGCGGGGAGGTTGTGGACAAGTTGGTTGTGTTTTTGAGCGCGCGAATGCGTCCGGTAGTCGTTAGATACCCGACGGGCTTTCTAATGTGACAATTGAAATGGCCGTGTCCATGTGTGGTCAGATGGCCATGCGAGCCCGGAGGGCGAATGCGAGCTGTTTCTCTTGGTCTAGTCCAGGCGGCGACGCGCACAGTACGCCGTCGCCTGGAGTGGTCACTGACGACGCTGACACCGCTGTTCGTCCTCCCAGGCAAGAACGGCTCCAAGATCGAGGCCCTGCGCGAGGAGACGGGAACGCGGATCGTGTTCCCCAGCGAGAACGACAAGGACTGTGAGATCATCACCATCATGGGCAAGAAGGAGAACGTGGAGAGGGCCAAGGAGCAGCTGGAGAAGCTCATCAGGGACCTGGTGAGGGTGTTGACTGACCTCAGGTCGTTGACGTGGACACGAAGCTTCACTCCCAAGCACGTACGGACTCACATGATGTCAGACGTCCTGGCAAGCGTCACGCATTGCTCTGCAAACCGCCAGTCCCGCCTCAGTGCAGGCAGAGTGTTAGTCTGCACCTCTAAGTGCAGCCACCGTCCGCACGTTTCCGGTGTCAGTGTGAAGTAGGCCTAGAGCGGGACAATGCCCGCTATGTGGCACCACACTGTCGGATGCGCGCCGCCCCGGTCCTGGCGCGGGGGCGCCGGCCGGACGCGGCTGACACGGCTCCGCCGACGCGACAGGACCTGACGGTGACGGCCGAGATGAGCGTGGACCCGCGGCACCATCGGCACTTCGTGGCGCGCCGTGCCGAGGTGCTGCGCGAGATCAAGGCCCAGTACGGCGGCGTGGAGGTCAGCTTCCCGCGGCCGGGCACCGCCGGCCAGACGGTCACGCTCAAGGGCGCCAAGGACTGCGTGGAGGCGGCCCGCCACCGCATCCAGGAGATCGTCGAGGCGCTGGTCAGTGGCGCGGCGCGCGCGGGACGGAGTCGGCAGGCGGGAAAGGGCGTGGGTCTGATACAGGGGAGGAAGGGAGTGGGCTGGGCACAGGGAAGGAAAAGCGTGAGCTCGGCACAGGGGAGAATCTCACCGTGTTGTGGTGGGTGTATCTTGGATTTGTGAAAAATTGCGCCGGCTGGTGCGGTCAGGCGGCTTTTCCCAGGTGTGGCGTTTGTGATTACGGTGGGCGGTGATGGGGAACTGTGTGGTGTCGGACCTGGCCGGCGGGACGGCTGCCTTTTGACCCGGCCGGTCAGATCTGGCCGGCGGGACGGCTGCCCCCTGACCTGGGGTGTCGGACCTAGCCGACGGGACGGCTGCCTCCTGACCCAGTCGTTTCGCCCCGCCCCACAGGAATCTCAGGTCACGATCGAGGTCGAGATCCCGCAGAAGCACCACGGCACGGTGATGGGCGCGCGCGGCTCGCACGTTCAGCACGTGACGCAGCAGCACCAGGTGCAGATCAAGTTCCCGGACCGGGCCGACCCGAACGCGGCGCCGCCCACCCAGAACGGCACGGAAGAGCCGGCGGCCGGGCCGCGCCGCTGTGACCTGATCCGGGTCACCGGTCCGGAGGCCAACTGCCTGAAGGCGAAGGCGGCGCTGCTCGAGCTGGTGCCCGTCACCATCGAGGTGAGAGCGCCAGCGCGTCCAGCCGACGGCACCAGAGACGTGGCGTGGCATGGCGCGCAGGTGCACGGCCGCTGCGCGAGCGGGTAGTTGGTGCGCCTGTGCATGCCCCGTATGTAGCCGGGGCCGTTGTCTGCCGAGCTCTGTGTTTGCATGAACGCAGGGCTTTGCGAGCGGAAAATGTTGCGCATTGTTGTTGGTTTGGGCACCAGAGAGAGCTGTGCGACGCGAGGCAGCCCCAGCCTGTGAGGCCGGCTTTAGTTGGTAGCTCTCTGGGAGTCCTCTCCGAGATGTATGTGTGCTGCGCCTGTGAGGCCGGCTTTAGTTGGGTAGCTCTCTGGGGGTCCGCTCCGAGATGTATATGTGCTGCGCCTGTGAGGCCGGCTTTATTTGGGTAGCTCTCTGGGGGTCCGCTCCGAGATGTATATGTGCTGCGCCTGTGAGGCCGGGTTTGGTTGGGTAGCTCTCTAGGAGTCCGCCCCGAGATGTACATGTGCTGCGCCTGTGTGGTCGGCTGACGCCGAACGCACCGTGGCCGTGGTGAAGTAATACCAACTTCTGGCTCTCCGCAGGTGGAGGTGCCGTTTGACTATCACCGCTTCATCATCGGCCAGAAGGGCAAGGGCGTGCGCGAGATGATGAAGAACTTCGACGTCAACATCTCGATCCCGCCGGCCGAGGAGCATTCCAGCGTCATCCGCATCACCGGAACGCCGAACAAGGTCAGTCGCCGCCAGCGCCTTCGCTTGGCGTAGGGCAAGACGCTCGCTGCTCCGGCAAGACGTCGGACATTTGCGCGTCTGGTAAGGCAGGTGCTGCACTGCCGGTGGTGCCCACTCGTACCGAGGCTGGGGCGCGGCAGCGGCGGCACCGGCTGCGGTGTCGTCTGGCCTCCGCGCGAGGCGACGTCTGCCGGCGGGTCCGGGCGTGCTGACGCGTCCCTTGCGCTCCGTGTCGGCAGCTGGACGACGCCCGCGAGGGTCTGCTGCAGCGCGTCAAGGAGCTGGACGCCGAGATGGCCGACCGCGAGCTGCGCTCGTTCACGCTCCAGATGCGCGTCAACCCCGACTACCACCCCAAGATCATCGGCCGCAAGGGCGCCGTCATCTCCAAGATCCGCATGGACCATGAAGTCAACGTGCAGTTCCCGCCCAAGGGTGAGGCTCGGGCGTTGGCGCCGCCCGCGACAGATGACTGGGACAGGGCATCACCTGGATACAGCTACGCTGTTGTGTGGCAGCATTTGGCTTTGGAATTCAAACTGTAGTGTGCATTTCAGTTGTGGTATCTGGTGGAAGAAAAAGTTTTCGGTAATGCTCGCAGTGGCATAGTGGGAACTGAGCACGCTGCCTGGTCGCGACTGCACAGCCCCCGTCCCCCTGGTGGCCACTCCATTATCTTCAGTCTCTGGTGCACCTCCAACATTCTCGGCTGGCCAGGCCTGCTCTGTGCATGCTCCTTATCCGAACTTTCGTGTTCATTTGTTTTGGTGGTTTATACGTTCATATGTTGAAGAGTTTATATGTTTTTGTCAGAAAGCCCAGCGCCCACTCTCAATGCCTGACCCACCTGTTGTCAAGTGAAGCCCTGTTGAACGCGCACCTCCACGCCTAAGACATGCCCTGGCGGTCACCGGCAGACTCTGAAGAGCCCGACCTGATCACCATCACCGGGTACGAGGAGAAGGCTCGCGCTGCCGAGGAGGCCATCCGCCAGATCGTCGGCGACCTGGACCAGATGACGCGCGAGGAGCTGCGCATCGACCCGCGCGTGCACGCGCGCATCATCGGCGGCCGCGGCAAGAACATCCGCGCCATCATGACGGAGTTCCAGGTCAGGGGGCGCCAGCCGGGCCCAGCCCGCCTCAGGCCGGCGGTGCTCGTCGAGCTGCGAGGGCGCCGTGTCGGTCGGACGTCGCGCGCTGCGTCAGACGCGTGAATGGGGTGCTCTGTTTGGCGGTGGTCGGTACACTTGGTGGTTGAGCTGGCCGTAGCGGGCGGGCAGCACGCGATGTTCCGGTGGCGTGCGATGATGGCACAAGATGATCACGATGCTGATGATGATGTCGCTGCGCTCCGCGCCGTTGTGACGATGGCCGGTTGAGCAGCCGGCCGCCGGCGCCCCGCGCGGCTGCGCCGGGCGCCGATCGCGCCGCGGTCGGTGCTGTGTCCGTGCCGGCGCGGCTGGGCAGGCGTCTAACGGGGCCGGTCACCCGCCCACCGCAGGTGGACGTGCGCTTCCCGCGCGCCGAGGACGCCGAGGACGACCTGGTGGTGATCACCGGCGCCGAGGAGGCCGTATTCGAGTGCGTCGAGCGCCTGCGTAACCTGGAGGAGGAGTACATGCAGGACGTGGCCGAGCGCGAGGAGATGAACTCGCACGTGCACTCGCGCGACACCGGCTACAACGGCGAGACGGGCGGCGGCCAGCAGGAGAGGTGAGCGGTGGGCGCGCGGCGACAGCCCGCCCCGCCCCCCCCCCCCCCCCCCATCCCGCGCCGGGCGTCAGGACTGGCCAGTCGGCAACACTGGGACGGGATCTGGCAGCGCGTCTGGAGTGGTGCGTCGTTCGAATGGTATGGTGCCAGTCGAGTCCGCTGAACTGGCTTCCCGGATAATTGGAAAAAGTCGAAAAGGATAACATTCGGGAGTGGCAAATATTGCCAATCACGTCAAAGAACAGGAAGTTGACAGATATGAAACTGGAACGGAAATAGTTAATATAGTTAATAAGAGATAATAGTCAGGTGGGAGAAAAGTCGGGTTGAAAAACGATAAAATGGTTAGCAAATCGGCATGAATAATCGTATGGATGGAAGTAAACGAAGCAGGCAAGCAGTCAAGCAAATTCAGACCTGGACTACTTCACCGCAACATTCTGCAACACGTACAGCCTTCCGCAGTCTTGGGAGAGCCAAGGCAAAACTATCCGTTGAACTGGACGCCAGAGCTTGGTTGGTGACTTCAGGGTATGCACAGCACGCCATACTTAGCAGGCACCATGCAGCCAAGGCCGCAAACTATTCGGAATACGCCATTGAGAAAACGATTCAGGAGTCTTCATGTGACGACTGACATGAAAGGGCCGAAGGACATGACAGGAAAGGGTGCCGACTGCAGTCTGAGGCACCCGTGCATTGAATTGGTTTCGCTTCCTTGCATCCGTGGGTCCTCTGATTTGGGGCCCGCCCGCGCTCACTCGGCAAACGCCCCGGGCAGGAAGCCAGCCTTCGAGCCATCACGCCCGAACCATCCAGAGCGCGGCTGTCGGGCTAAGGCCATCAGGGGGCTGATCTGCTTTGGGTACCCTCTTAGCCCCTAACAATTTCGTGAAAATTTCCTGTAATCATGATCTGGGATGGTGGCAGGCAACACAGGCGCCCACGACAGCGGGCGGCACACAGCGGTGGTGTCCGTCGCGGGTCGTGTTTTTCCAGTGGGCCGGGTGCTAGACAAACAAACGTGTGGTTCCAATGTTGGTTCTGGGTTGCCACTTCTCCTTTCTGAAAGCGAAACTTTGAACCTTGGTTCTTGAGGGTTCTTTCTGTCTGCCTGAACTCGCTGAACTCAATGCGTGGTTCTCTCATGATGCTAGTACAAAGAACGATATGTGTTCCTGGTTCGCACTGGTTTACTTACAAACTACAACCTAGCTGATGGTTACCACTGGCTTTGCATACGCGCCAGACCCTGATCCACTGTCCCCACCGGAGTTTTGGTTCCCACTAGTGACGTTTTTTCCCAGTCTTTTAGCCCCGCCGTCTAATCTTTTATCCCTTTCAACACTTTTTCGAATCGATTTCTATCCCTGTCACGTGACGACTTTTATGCCTGTCGGCATTTTGTCCTTCGGGCTTTGCCCCTGCCGAATTTGATCTGCTGACCTTGCGCTTTCGACATTTTTACGTTTCGACGTTTTAAGCCTGTCGGCTTCTTTGGTCTTTTCTTTCTTCCAGCCTTTGATTTTCGTGTCTGTCGGCTTTTTGCCGTGCGATTTTATGCGTTCGGCGGTGTTGCATGTTAACTTTTCTGCGCCAAATGACCGCTGCGGTCGGCTCGGTCCGGACGCCGTCCAGCAGTGGGCGGGTGGAGCGATCTTGGATGATTCTGCGTCGTTTCTCCCACCATCCGGAGGCGCTGCGCCGTCTGGTAGCCAGATTCGGCAGGCCTCAGTCGCCAGGGGCGGCGCCGATGACATGTCTGGCGTGTGGCGACCTGTTGTGTAGCGTGTGGGGACATGCGTGCCTTGTGGTGACCTGTTGTGTGGCGTGTGGCGACCTGTTGTGCGGCGTTTGGGGACCTGTTGTGTGGCGTGTGGTGACCTGTTGTATGGCGTGCGTTAGCTCGATGTCTGACCTATGCTGACCCGTGACCTGACCTCTGACCGGGTGTCGTTTCGTACGTCAGGTCCGGGTTCGTGGTGAGCGGCGCGCCGTGGCAGCAGCAGCAGCAGCAGCAGCAGCAGGCCGCGGTGCTGCGCTCCAGCGCGCCTGACATGGCCAGCGCCGAGGAGTTCCCCAGCTTCGGCGACACGGCCAGCAGCACGCCCGTCATGTGGGGACCGTCGCGCCGCTAGCCGCCGCCGGCGCCCAGATACGCACGGACGGAGAGACCGCTGCTGCCGCCGCTGCCCGACGGATCGGCACCGCTGCTACGGAGAGGGCGAGAGAGAAAGAAGGGAAGAAAGAGAGAGCGCGAGCGAGCGAGAGAGAGGGAGAGAAAAGCCACAAGTGTCTTCCGGGTCCCCGCGGCCGGGCCGGCGCCCAGGGACTGGCGCGAGCGGGCCCGCCCGCGCCGCCAACAGAGCAGATCGGCACGCCTATTTTGAAACGATTCCAGTTTATTTAGGGTTTTTGGCCTTGGCATGGTTGGTTGTTTTTAACCGGTGCATGACAAGTGCACTTTTTGTTGATATTTTAGGGGACATGGTATTCAAGTGTGGCTGACAGACCACGACAATAACGACGTTGGCGCCGTACGCTATGCACGGAGGCGATTTGACTTGATCCCGATTTTGTACAAAGGGGTGGTGTGTGTACGACACAAGTCATAATAATAACGTCCCAGCGACATGGCGGCGCTTGATTGCCGTTCGGTACACATATATTATATGTTACATATATAATGGTGAAAGTATACGAATATAAATTATAAAATACACCACCTTTGCCCCTGAGACGAATGAACGACTCTCATGAATTCGATTGCCGCCCAAGGCTATTGCTTGCAGTTGCAGGCTTCTCACCTGCCTGAGCGGGTACGACAGCATATTTGTTACAGACGACATGCTTGCGACCTGTCCAGTGTTGACGAAGACGACGACGACGACGACGACGGGGTATGTGCTATAGACGTAGCCGACATGCCGGCGGGCGATTTGCCGGTCCCGAACGTGGGCCCTGCGTGCCGGTTCGGACGTCCAACGCGCGATTTTCAAATAAACAGCGGAGTCGGTCCAGCCGTTTGGCGGAGGCAGCCGGTCGTCAGCAGCTGGAGCGGCCGGTCGTGCTGAGCGGGAGCGTCGGGGTCGGCTTTCCGTCACCCGGCTCCGTGGGACGCGGCTGGGGATCCACGGCACAGCGGCGTGGGGCGTGCGCCGGCCCGCCACGGATAGCCGGGACAGACACGAGCCCGGGTGGCCACCAACGGGCCGCTGAACTGGTGGCCAGGCGGACGGATAAGTGCGGGGCCGAGGCGTTCAGTGCCCAGAGGTCCAGCTTTTGTGGCGTGGCCAATGTTCCGGCCTCTGCGGTGGTACGCGGACGATGTGGTGACCGTTGACACGGGCAAGCTGTGACAAACCACTGTTATGGCGGTCATAGGCCCGGCTCACGAATGCAACTCCGTGGCTTTTCACGAATCCGCCGTGAGGGATGGCTTCCACCCTTTATTTCTCATACACGATTGACAGAGCAGCTGCACCAGCAAAGTGGGCGCATTCCTAGTTTGCCCTCCGAGTATACAACATGTCAAATTGGCGTGATTATAATCTCGTTAGCTGGCCTCCCATGTCGGCGTTGGCACATTGGTCGATACGTAAACCACCGACGCGTAACACCCAACCAAACCACGTCAGTCGGAAACGGCAAGTTGCACATTCGGCGACTGTGGGAAAACGGACCACAGGCTCGCAACCGCTGCCGACGCGCTTACCGTTCGTGGAACTTCAGGGTAAGGGAAGTAAGAGTTTGTACCTCACTTATTTATGCGGGATCACGCAAAATTGTACGGGGCTTGGAGGGGAAACGGCCACCTGTTTTCCCCATCCTGTCCGTGCGACCCCCCTGCCCGCACATGCTCTGTAAAACCGGCGCGTGCCGCGAGCGCACCATGCCGCTAAAAACCACAAACGAACATCAGACAAAAAGTAACCGCACGGCGCACAGCACGACGTCACAATAGAATGTGGCGGACAACACACGCAGCAGACCGCCACCTTAGAAAGCGCGGCAATAGCTGGCAGCGTTTGACGCGTGCCCACGTGAGCGGCACGACACGGCCACGGAGCCCGGCATGCGCCATGCGCGCACGGATTGTGCTGCATGTCTCCACATCTTGGCGCGCCCCGCCAACCGCCCCTGAAGATACCGGAGGCCGGTCCACTCCGAGATTGGGGCGTTCGTGCGCAGCGCCCTGAGCGGACTCGACCTGGCCCACCACATGGACGCAGAGCGCGTGGGTAAACCCGGCCAATCACGCATAACACGTTCCTGAGAGGGAGATATCTTACGCAAGCGCAGCCAAATGGTTACACAAATGAGCTGGCATCACGCATGGACGGACTTGCATCGGTAATATCGGTTATTCTTGCGCAACTCCAGTGGCTTCGCTCATCGCGTCCGACTGAAGGGAGGGGACGGCATATCGGCCCGACAATCAGCTGTTCTCGGGTCGCACACCGGTCAGCTGCTTCGCTCATCGCGTCCGACTGAAGGGAGGGGACGGCATGTCGGCCCGACAATCAGCTGTCCTCGGGTCGCACACAAGTCAGCGGCTGAACGAGCGCCCAAGTCAGACGGTAGCATTCTGGAACAAAGATAGCCAAGCAGGTAAAATAGTCAGTCCTCCGCACAGTTTCAAATCGTAGCATTCTGGAACAAAGATAGCCAAGTGGGTAAAAAAGTCAGCCCTCCACACAGTTTCACAACTGCCATCACTTTCCCGCACAGGTGGGGTGGGCAAACATTTCTTAACCCTTGCAGGACTGGTGGTCATGTTGACCCAGATGATGCAAAAGATGCTGGCTGGGCCCAGACAGGGGCATTTGTCAGCCTCATAGCATCTTGACTACAGTCTCAGCAGTAGGGTGGTCTCAACATGGGAGCTGGCACTGACCGTCAGCTGCGCCAGCTGATGCTCCAGCGAGACCACCTTTTCTTCTGCCTCCCGCAGTGCCTTCAGCACAGTCACCAGCACCGCTGAACTGCCATCCATGGTGCTGAATGCACCATCCAGCAATTTCTGCAGACCGGCAGCAGCAATCACAGCATCAGCCAAAGGCATCTATGCCCTGTTGCTTGTCTCAGCAAATGGGGGTGTGCAATTTGTGCATACCAAGATACTGTGCAGGAACTGTATCATCACCCCAAAACAGCATTAGCAAACAGGTACAAGCATACTCAGGCAGCATCTTCAATGTTGCACAGCAGCACTCATCACAAGAACACATCCATGCTGAGTTTTCAAACACATTTGATGCAAAGAATTGCTGAAGCATAATAAAATGGATGGTGTAAGGGCAATCTCACAGCTGCAAAATATTAACCAGAAATTCACTTCCCAACAACTCTGTTGCCAATGGCACTTCATGCTTCCACTTCCCCCACCCAGCCCTTTGGATACATTTGCTTCTGTCACTTTTTCACATTTGTTTCAGGTGAACATCACCCAAAAAAAGTTCTCACCATTGTTTTTCCCCAATTTTCAACATGTCCTTTGACATCACCTCGCAGACCATTAACAATGTTTGTACAATTCTTTGTGGTCTTCCTAAATTCTTTTGATTGCTCTTTTAGCTCTTCCTTGAGTTTTTTCACTTCAATATACTTTTGCTTCTCCAAAACAGATTTTTTAAGTGCCATATCTGAAAAAGAAAAGGTAGAAGGTGGCTGACACAACACAACATAATATACTAGGCAGCTTAGTTTCCTGTCTCAACCTGATAAAGACAAAATGTGGAATCAACTGGATCTGAAATACCCTGAATTACAATTTGGTGATAATCCAGCAAATGTGATGCAAAATGCACACAATGCACCTTAGCACATCCAGCATAACATGCATTTTTGCTGTCTGGTGCACAAAACAAGGAGTCTAACCATGATTCTTGCAAGTAGACTGAGAAGTTCAGATACCAGTTAACATACTTGCTGTGCTCCTGACACTGGTTCTTAAATGACTGATGCAGTCCTTCCTTTAGTCCTAAGCAGCAATGGGCTAAGCTTGGCAAAAGTGGACATAATAAACTGGAATTCGTTCAGGTTAGCTTGACATATGACCCAGGCAAACATGGCCCAGCTCACACAACTGATACAGATGCACTTAGTTTCACTGCAGCCTGGAAAATTTATGTCTTACCTTTGTACTCATTCAGAAGGTACTCAACCAAGCCAGCGCAGTGAACTGATTCTTCTGAGGTTTGAACGGTCAAGATGACGAAAAGGCCAAACAACAAGCAACATATACAAATGCCTACTATAACTCCGAAGCTTCCTCGCACCCGTTGGAAGTACATGAAGGCTTTAGAACGCAGCGTTCAGTGACTCGACTGACGGCAGGCAGCAGTATACCCAACAGGTCCCAACCAGTTAACTATTTTGCACCTTCCCGAATGCGACACCGCCCTCACACAACACCCTCAAACATGCCTCGGGTCATGGCCGGACCTCAGCAGTGTTGCCATTGAGAGGTCAGTGATCCGTCGAACGTCATACACCTTCCTGACCAGTTTGCAGTGGTTTTGCACTTCTCTGCAATTGTTTGGAAAATACGGGATCATCATTGGTTGATTTATAGCATTGCCAGCTATGATTCGTGAATTTTGGCACATTTGCCATGTGTAGCTTACCTTGAGCACCTTCTGGCCTGGCTCCTTTCAATGCATTAATGCCGCACAAGAGACAATACATCAGCTTACAACGGTAACATAGCTTTGAAGGAGACTGCCTAAAAGAGCTGTGAGAAACTAGAGAAGCGAGGCAGTGTCGGGGGATTTGTGGGGCGTGTGCGATCCGTGTGGTGCGTAACACGGGAAGGCCAGCGAGTGCTATAAAGCCTTTAGACTGAATTGGTTCCACATGGTGCAACAATGAGTAAGTGTATCATCATGCTTACAACTTGACTGAAGTAAGGTAGGCCTCATTTCAGGGGCGCAGCCAGGTTTTTAAGAGAAGGGAAAGGCGGGGCTTATTTAGAAGGCGCCACGCCGTCTATGTTTCTGTCAAAAGTAAACTTCATCAAAGAAGGACAGATGATTCCTCTTTTCCTTGACTGCATCTGCGTGTTCCCCTCCCCCCCTTTCCTTCGCTACCTCAACCTTCTGATTGTTTTTGTTTCAAGGGGAGTGTGGCACTTCAGGAATGCTAAGAAGTGGTGCCATTTTGGTTGTCAGATAATTTTGTCATTGCATTGCAAGGATGCACACTTGTGCACATTGTAAAAAGCTAAGGTATCAGCAGATATGTACAGGGGTACATTATTTTTTGGCTAGCTGCTGACTGATGTTCCCATATTATGCAGGCTAAACAATACATGCATTCCAGGATTCATGCACCATACTACCTTATTGCTACTGCAGTATCCTTGCACAGATCTTAAAGGTGAAAATGTAGATCCTTGACCATAAATTTATCAGTTTATTATCAAAGGTTTTAAATCTAGGTGATTTAGATGCTTACCTTAGCTTGTCTTTTACTTGTTAAGCTCCTTGTATGCCTGTAATGCATACATTCCATGGTTGGATGTGCCCTTTACTCCATTTTCTGCTAGAAAAGATAATGTGTAGCCAAAGCATACCTTATTTGAATAAGTCCAGCCAAATTTGTATGGATGTCTAATTCCAGGATGTTCTAAATAATTAGACATGAAACTGCTATGATGTTATATTCTGACCAACCAGGTTGTATCAATTTTACATCTGTGGTATGTATATCATTTCATTCTTTTTCTTTCAAGTTTACTGACCAGGGAGCTTATTGGATGCAGGAATTCAGTGACTGGTTAGACCTGATAAAGATGAAGGCAATCACTGATCAACCTGGATGTGACTGAAGACTGAGGTTAAGACTACAATGAAATATGGGGGCAGGGAGAAGAGAAACTTGAGTTTTTGGCCTGATGCCATCTTCAGATAGAGATAGGTGGGATGGGTGGGAGCTGCTACCAAACAGTAGTACAAGACAATGACTTGAAATAAATTAAAGATGAAATGTTGTTTTTACTTCCATTATCACAAGTTTTGTCCGGACCAGAGCATTTCTGTTGTTGCATCTTCTTTCCTGTTTAGTTGCTCCCCTCCCCCTTTGCCACTGCAACCTACAAATGGTGTAAGGCCAAAAGTTCCTGGGGTCCCTTTATCCTGCCATATGCTATCATTATATTTTCTCCTCCCATCTTCATTTTAACCCAAAGTCAGGCAGCAAGAACATAACCATAGCCTTGACAAGGGGGCTAGTTTGTTTTGTTGAAGTAAGAATAGAGTTATGTGCCATTCAGGGCCCCACGTTGGGATACAGCTGTTATGTTGCTAGTTATGATTTGGCTACTCGTCCAGGTTGATGAAGGACCCCTGATAGTAAAAGGCCCCCTGCAACAGAAAATCACCATTTATCTTTGAAGGTGTGTTGATGTATGTAAGGTACTTATAAATATAGATAAAGAAATATAAATATAGATGCATGCATAAAATATAAATGCATAAAATGTAAGTATGTATATATATATATATATATATATATATATATATATATATATATTACACATTTCTACCCTCTGGAATAAAGGAATAAAGGCCAGACATTACCATGGTTCTGCCTTCATCTTACAATAAAGAAGCTGAAAAAATCGGGGATTAAATGACTACATGAAATAAATAATGGGCACTTTTCACTTTATGATGGTCGTTTTGACTTTTGAAACCGATAGAACGCAGAAACTTTGTCAGATTTTTATTCAGGCTGCACAGAGATAGCAAGGACTCCGGAATTTAGATTGAAGATCAAAATGGGTCAACAATTAGTATTAACATGGCCAAGCCATGTTTATCTGGATATGCTCAACATTCTGAAAAGAAGTGCAAACTATATAACTGAGTTTTGAGCATGCGCGTTCGCATATCGCCACAAAAACCCACGCCAGGCGTTACAGTCTCCTCAGGCCGCGCGGCGTCGGCCTCGCGACTAATGCCCAGGTCGTGGCCAACAGGCGGGCGAAAATGGTGACACACCTGAAGGAAGTAGTTTTGAACACTTTTGGACACCTATGCGAAGATTTAGACGTTTTTCGGGCGTATGTTTCACCTGCTTGGTTTTTAGATTGATGACAGTAGCGTATCGGTCTCTGCGGCGCCCCAAAATGTTGCTGAAATCCAATGGTGGAACTGGAAGAGTAAAGTAAAATCTCTATTTTCCGCGTTGCCATAACTGTTTAATCTGTCCGGAGGACAACCTCAAAGTTGGAACAAAGGATATGCCCATTGTAACCTCTGAACTGCACGAATTAATTTTGAAAGACATTCAGCAGCATTATTTTACGATGGTCATTGTTGCGCGCCTGGCGTCCACCCCCTGGCGTCATTTGTAGTGGCCAACTCCGGTTGGTTTTGCAAAAACCGCGACGCAAGCCGTCGCTATTCTTGCCCCCCCCCCCCCCAGATTACGGGCGTTTCATCGGGCGTTTCTGACGCACTCAGCTACTGGGGCTATATGACGCCGCCAACCTCGCACCCCGGTTAGCAAGGGCCGGCATCGTGGAGAATCGAACCCCGTTCCTGTGATTTCCCAAACGCGGGGTGTTTAACGCAGGTGTGTTAACCACTGCACTAGCGGCACCCGGCGTGCAGGCTCAAACATTTGATGGTATTTGTTTCACTAGTCGATTCTGCAAGGATAATGAACACCCCCTGGGAAACACGGGATAGCTTTGTATGTTCTGAACTCATTTCGACCCACTCCATCTAGCACTGTGACCCCTTGTTTTTTTTCCGGTAAAGGGGCCCTCTTGAATACAACACTACGGAGCACATTGTTGTTCCCGGTCAAGGGTTAAAGGACCATTCTATCCCACCGGCCGTCATTATGGTGGCGCGGGGCGACATCCCCTGGCCGATCCGGAGGCCCGTGGAAGGATACATCATATGGCATTGGTTCGCTCCCTGACGCGGGAGGCCTTCTGACCCGCGCAATGGACCCCGGGTCGACGCATGAACCATGATTAACGAAGCAACATCCCTGCTTGTCGCAGGTGGTCAAATAATTGGCGCATAGACTCCAGTTGGGCTTAACGGGCCAATGCTGGAGCAGGTTTGGAGGACCCACCGTTCGGTGCTGGGGGCCCTGAATGGCACATAACTCTTGCATTACCTCAACGTGAGCACCCATCATAAGTTCTTATGGTTTCTTCAACAGTCAGAGGGCCCCGACTAACGCAAGAGGGACCCTCTGCCGCCCGGGCTTCTGTCCGCGTTTAGCAAATCTTCCCCTGTTGGAATCAAGGCCCGTTGTTGACACAGAAATCCCCGTTAGGCACGTTGGACCCGTGAACGACACAGGAGCCTGACCAATGTAAATCGCGAGCCCGGCCTCATCTCTGCTTTGGAAGTGGGCCCTCGGGCACATGCCGCCGCGGAGCCGACTGTGTGTTACTGGTGGTGTCTGACCAAAATATAGGCCCTTATCGACTCAGTGGGCCCCTGATGAGCGCGCAGCGCCTTCTGGCTCGCATTGGAGTGTCCGGCCCTGCGGGCTAGCCCCTCCCCCCCCGAATGAGGCCTTCGGCTGACTTTTCGGGCCCTTCGAGCCCTCAAATGGGGCCCTTAATCATAGTTTTCGAACAGCCCGAAGGGACCCTCGGAGCCGAATGCATCGCATACCCTCTGTGCCCCCCCCCCCCCTCCCCTGCCTGTGCTAATGCCAGCCAGGGATTGCCAAAACCTTGCCATTGTATTACAATATTATTGCCAAAATTTGCCAAAATTTACAATAGATGATATTATAACAACTTATATTGTATATATATATATATATATATATATATATATAATTTCAGTCGATAGTGAGGAAGCTCATACAGGGTAGTAATAGTGCGATAGTAAAGCAATAAACTGCAGATGTTCGTCAGTGACAAAGTTGGTATGGCCGGAGTAGGCGCGCAAAAGCTTGTACACGGATGCATGATGTTAGAACGCTGTACGTACGTATACATTCGTCAGGGATTACGTTCGTTTGACATAAATACGCGCGAAAAAATCGTGTGCTAAGTTATAATGTGAGCGCACCCAGCTGGTGTATGGATGCCGGCCCGTGATGCAATTTATGTGAGCATAGTACGTACGCAAATGTTAGCGTGCAGGAGAGGAATTAAGTTCGAATACATGTCACCATTCTGTGTGCCGCGTCTTGGACAAATAGTCACTGTGGAACGCCATACCATCCCGTCGACTGGGGAGACGAGGTAGGAGTGATAGGATGCTGCGACCGTCGCAAACGCCATGTCAACTATTACCCTGCTTAGTTATTCATAACACAATTGGACGCTCTCCGGCGGCCAGCTAATGAACCCGAGTCAATGGGATAAATGCAAAATAACCCTGAAACGGAAGGGGCCGGAGGTAAAAAATGTCCCCCGCATGTCAGCCGGGGGTGTC